AAGCAAAAGCAAAATGCCCGATCAAAGAGTTCAAGTAGGAAGGAAGGCCCGATAACTTGTCTGCCAATAACTCCTCCCAAAACATTCAAGCTCCATTTATTTGGAAATCTATTTGCCCGACCCATTAAAGGTTTTCCGTCACATAATAGTGCATGTTATGCCTGCTGACAACACCTATGCTATTAAAAGCTTCCTCATCGCTAGAAAGAACCTTATCCAGGAAGGTAGTGTCTTCACTCACTTTATTTAGCATTATTCTACTAAACTCCATTCGAGCTGCGAAATCTTGAGGACAAAGGCCTTGATGCAAGCATAGGTAATATGGATGAGACCTATGCTTGTGAATAATCCTTGGACAGAAGTTCTACATATATCAGTTTCGGCTCCAGTTTGCCATGCCCTTAAATGGGCATTTTCCTTCAATTTTAATAGAACCTCCAACTGATGCTCCTCATTGGTGAAACTTGGATTATTTGATACATTTTTTACTGTATTCCTCTGCTCCACTTGATTCAAAACGTTCCCATAGTGTGGAAAATGTTTCCGGCTCTGGAAGTCGAATATTAGGGTACCGTTGCTTATAAATGCGAGATACTAGGAAACTAGTTCTTTGGGCATCGCCCAAAACGAAGACCATATTCACCATTTGTTCATTAGAAAAATTCATTTTCAAACACATTTTTATTATGATGCTCATAAAGATAATTTTGACAGTTTGTAACTAATCAACAATTTATTTGTTTCCAAGGATGATGCGATATTTCAGGGAATTAAGCCGTTCCATAAAAGACGTGCTAATAGCCGAAAAAATAACAGTAAAAACTCTCATGTGTCTAGTATCAATAAAAGCTTATAAAAAATTGAATCGAAACTTGCACAAATATACAGGGTGATGCATTTGAATTTTTTGAGAATAACTACAATTTGCGTTTTGGCCATTATGTGTCATGTATAACATCCCATATAAATACGTACAGTTATACCAAAATGTGTTTGTTTATGAGTAGTATTCCGTCCACACATGGATAGGCCACCCTGTATAAGGCGAAGATGATTGCGTAAGCACGATCTGTGATACCTAGAACTTGCTTTGATTCTATTCGGCTCAAATGGCGGCTCTGAACGGCACCCGTGGCCGCTACTGTCTTGTGAAGCTCGCTTTTGAGGGCTACGTTGTCGTAGTGACAACAGAAGAGCAGGCTAAGAAGGGGTGTGGATATCAAAATTCTCAAACAATTATTTCCCTGCTCTGAGATTCCTTAAAAAGTATTTTGACTCGTGATTCCTCCTACAGGAAGCCTCAGAGGTTTGCAGCACGAAGCATGACCCTATTTGAAATGAACGCTTTTAGCATTATTCGTGTTAAGTGGTTCTACAGCTATACAGGGTGACTTCGAAGTTGAGTCATTTATTTTAACAGTGAGTAGATCTGATCAAAAGAAATGTTTTTTTCCTTTAACATTTTTCTGGTAAAATTAAAGTAACAAAGTTATAGCCCTTTAGAAGTTTGAGTACCGCCCTGTCTCAATAATAATATTATGTGCTCGTGTTTGGCAACAACGGATATCGGTTCATCGCATCGGAAACAAAAAAGCGAAAGAATTTGAAACGTTTATCACGATGTCTTTCGTCAGTCGGTAACGCGTGAGTGAATAGTGGTTTCTTATTTACGGGGGGGCAGTCTTTACAAAATGCTGCCGGATGCATCACGGATTTACGAGAATCGGTTTCCCAATCGAGTGCAACCAACCCCTCGTGCCTTCGTTAATGTAGTACAAAGGGCTCGTGAATCAGGTGACTTAAGACCTCACAGGTGAGGGAATGCCGGTGCTCCAAGACCTCACTATCAAATACAGGTCCGCACTGAAATACTTGTCGGGAGGATACTTTATTAAACAAGGTAACATTTTTTTTTATTTTTACACACATATTTTGGTTTATCTTCCTTCTACAATCATTATCTGAAAATTAATGACTCAACTTCAAAGTATAACCGTCTGAACTCAAAACACCTGGCATCTGGACAAAACGTTGTTACTTAGTGCCATTGACTTTTCCTTATCTTCAGGATATTAACCCTGTGTTTGTAGACCTTTACAGCGCCTGAAGCCGGGCGCCAACACTTACCATAACAATACGGTAGCTTATATTAGTCGGAAAGTCAGCCAGGCGGCCGCAAAAATGTGTGTCCAGACGATACGATTCCTTGGCAGACATGTCTTTTCAAATCATCAAGGTGTATTTCACAAGAAAATGATGTTTTCTACGACGACGCCACGACACCATCAATTGTCGGCTTTTTATTACGCCTCGATGCTGATCTATGTTTTTCTACCACGTAAATCAACGATTCCTGTACTGATCAAGTAGATTACTAAACCAGGGGTTGCTGTGTTTTTTATGAAAGTGTGGACGGCATAGGCTGTTATTTACATACTTCGATAAAGAACGGGAAGCTGAAGCCTGGTGGATCTGTCTGGCAGCTCTAGAGCGGATGGATTAGGTCTATGGTGAATTGCAATGATCCGGTTTTATTTGTTAATAATAATGAAGCATTTATACGTAGTATGGTGGTTTAATTTACACAGTATGTGTGCCATAAAGTGAAACAAAAAACACAAAAAGGAGACAGGCGCTTGAAGCAGAGAGAAAATAAACTATGAATCTGATTAATAGATGATAGGAAGAAATAATAGCATCTAATGTTCACACATAAATATACAGGGTGTTTCAGAACTAAGGGATCAAACTTTTAGGGGTTATTCAGTGTAACAGTAGAAAACATTTGATTATAGGGATCCGAAAAAGTGTCACTACGGCACTACGGCCCTAAGACGCGTTAAAATTTAGAAAGTCGATGAATTGCCTAAATAGGATTTAATGCATTTAATTTTTGCCTTCTGTACATGATATCACCACAACAATTGTTCAAAATATCTTCCTCCAACCTGGATACACCGATTTAAACGCCGCACATGATTTCGGCGGTCTTGACTAAAAATTTGATACTCGTTTTGAATGATTTCAAATGCCGCTGTAATTAATCCAATTAATTCTTGCTCTGTTTCTACTGTAGATTCGTAGACCAAAGACTTTACATGTCCTCACAAGAACAGTGTATTCAGGATCGAGGAAGACATTTTGAAAAATTTTTGTGATGATATCATGTACAAAAGGCAAAAATTAAATGCATTAACACGTTCACTGCGTTACGGGGCTAATATGATTCTAAGGTGTTCCATATTGCGAAGCTTGTCAAATTTTTATTTTTTAAGATAAAAAAAAGATTTTTATAGCTATAGAATTGCAATTTAAGTACTATTTTTCTTCGAAAAAAAAACAGTACGACCCAAAGAGGCCCCGAACCGCATACAACCTATTAATTTTTACTTGCTTGCGGTACGGGGTCAAACGTTAACGGGTCAATTTTACCCCGACCCGCATCTAATCATTATTTTCGACCAGTCTGTGTAGGATTTGTCTCAAATTAGAGCACAATACCTTACAGTAAATTTATTCAGTTGGCAAGCATACGCCGTCGTGGATGGTAATAATCGAAAAAATGTCTCCTGGAGAGTCCGTTTTATGAAGATTCAGATGACTCGCTGATGGACAAAGATTACATTTCCAGTTCATCCGGTAATAGTTCATCCAGTGATGAAAATGAGTTCTAAGCCTCTCAAGATGTGCTCCCGTTAAACCAAAATAATGCCTCACAAAATGCACCTGGCCCATCTGATATAACTTGGGTCGATGTAACTGTGCCCTGTACCGAATTGTTTCCAACTTTGTGTGATAATGAAATCAGTTTTAATGTACCACCTAACCTTTCTTCTCCTATCGATTTTTTTAAGTTGTTTGTTAATGACGAGTTGATCGAGAAAATGGTTCAAGAGACTAATAGATATGCTCAGGATTTGATGTCACAAGAAAACAAACATAAATCAAGACTAAATTTATGGAAACTAGTAGATCATAATGAATTGCTAAACTTTTTTGCCATAGTAATAGCCATGGGAATTGTGAACGCTACAATAATGAATTTGTATTGGTCCAAAGATTCCTTATATCATAATAAATTTATATCATCTTGTATGACAAGGGGCCGATTTTTAATTATTTTAAGATGCTGGCATTTCATGAATAAAGAAGCAGTGATTGTTCCAAAAAAGTAGTTATAGACGAGTCTATAATACCATGGAGTTGTCGCCTAAGAATGAAACAATATATACAAAATAAATCCCACAAATATGGTGTGAAACTTTACAAACTTTGCAATATTGATGGTTATGTGACTAATTTCAAAATTTATTCGGGTAATGAAGACAGCCACGCAGAGTTTATAGTGGATTCATTACTATGAATACGGCCGCATTTTATATTGCGATAATTTTTATACTTGAATTGAAAAATTATTTGAAGACCGAAAAAACAAGAATTTGTGGTACCTTGAGAAAGAATCGCAAAACTCTTCCTAAAAATATTATTTCTCAAAAGCTTAAAAGAGATCAAATAGCTGCAAAAGAGTCAGAGGGCATAAAAATTATGAAGTGGGTAGATAAAAGACCGGTTCTGATGCTCTCAACCTGTGAAAATCACGATACATCATTAGTTAATACAGGAAAAATAAGAAAAGGACAGACTGTAAAGAAACCGCAGTGTGTAATCGATTACAATAACGCAAAAAAAGTGTCGATTACAGTGACCAGATGGCATCTTACCAGAGCCCACTCCGAAAGAGTTTAAAATGGTACAAAAAATTGAATTGATTTTTAATTCAGCAATCGTCAATGCCTGGGTTATGTGTAATCATCAACATCCAACTAGCAAGCTCACAATTCTCCAATTTAGAGAAAAACTAGCGAAATATTTCTATCAGTGTGGCAGAGAAGAATTGCAACCAGAACGGCCAAGAACTCCTAAAAGATACCATACCCATACTGTAGGGGAAAACGAAAACAAAAAGAGGAGAAAATGTGTAGGATGCTACAAATTACTAAGAAGAACAATGAATAGTCGCGAAGCTGACAACAAAGTAAAAAAAGTCTACACTCATTGCAAGGAGTGCGCGGGGAAGCCGGCCTACTGCTTAAGTTTGTTTTAATGAAGCCCATTAGTCGTTTTGTATTGCAAAATCAATATTTTACTTTTCTTTTATATGAATGACACCATATTTTAGCTTAGAATTTGAGTGTTTCTATATTTTAGCTTAGGATTTGACTGTTTTAGTTTAATATTAAAGAAAGTGTTTTTAATATTATTGCCAAAAATACATATTTTACTTTTTTCTATCGTAACAATATTATTGTTTAACCTTAGTTTTTCCTGGCTCTGTTTTAGATTAAAAGAACTTTTATCATTATTACTGTGTGGTTATTTCTTAAAAAAAGCTTTTATTTTACCAAAAAAAAACTTTATTGTTGGCTACGAGGTATATTTCACCGTAACGCATGTCGGGCCATCTCACTACGAGTCAAGTTTGCCTCGTAACGCATATCAGGCCAACTTAGGTTTTTAGCCAACGCAGTGAACGTGTTAAATCCTATTTAGGCAATTCATCGTCTTTCTAAGTTTTAACTTGTCCCAGGGCCGTAGTGCCGTAGTGAGTTTTCCGGATATGGGTCCCTATACTCAAATGCTGCTGTTACACTGAATAACCCCTAATAGTTTGATCCCATAGTTCTTAAACACCCTGTATAATAAATGCCACACTGCCGAATAAGTACTATAACTTCAGAAATGTGGTTCTATGTAGTTTGGGTATAACATGAATCAATCATGACGTAACGAAGGTAAGCTCTTATCCAAATAGATCAAACATGTTCTCACTCTAGTCTTAAACTTCTGATTTTGGTATACAATACAAAAGGTGTATAAATATGAGTCTTATTCAAAAAGACAACGCTTCGACTTGTAACCGATGTCTTATTTAGGGCTACCAAATTGAGAAAAGGATTTCACTGGTAATAAAATACTAACGCTTCGCAACAGTTTATCACAACCATTTTGATTTCTTGTGAGGAGAATATTGGTTGTTTCCGATTTTGTCACCAGTCACTTCTAGCGAGTGACCAAATGTTGCGATACTCATTCTACTACTAAGCCTGTAGGATAACTTCTACTACTTCCTTCGGTCTAACTCATTTGTCTCCTTTCCGAGAGCTGAATAAACAACCACAACAGAATGATTCCTATTCCTCAACGAGCCACAAATATAGTAAGTCATCCCTCTTCAGTTACAGAGACACTAGAAGCGAAAACTACCTAGCCACGAAAAAAGTCAATTGAAAAAGTGGGTTATGTGGAAAGATGAGTAATTTAAAATTAGAGTATCTTAAAATTGCTGATATAAGAGGGCCATCAGCCAAAAACAATAATTATTGAGAGAATGGTTGCCTCAATGGCAATGATACACCATGTTACAAAATGAAATTTACATATAACCAGTTTCGTTGGGGGTACAAAGTCCTAGAAAACTATCCCAGAAAGAGAATACCCAAAACAGCAACAAAAGAAGGAATGGCTCAAAAATTTGAGCCATTGGTTCTATAATTAGTATGACATTGACTATATATCAAAACCCAGCGTAATTACCAACTTGCACCACAATTTGAACATGAGTAAGGTGGCATTCCACGGTTGATGTTACCTGAACGAATATTTCGCAAGTTTGAAATTTCCGAAAGCCGTTTGGAAACTGTGACCAACGATTCTGACTTCTTGGCACAAATATTGAGAGGCGGCGATAGTCACCATGTCTCAAAAAGGCCAATTTTTTGAGAGTCAAGTGGAAATATTTTTTAATAAGGGTATAAGCTTACTAGAGGAGAAAGAGCTCAACTTCTGTCATTTGTTTCATGGCTAGGTACAAGTTTTCTTGTCCGCCTCGTAAATGTAAAAAAGGTGACATTCAGAAAAGTTGTTTTTGAACGTTTGCATTATATTTGTGGATACCTACTTACCACCCTTTCGGATTATTTTGTACCTACCGCCAGATATGATAATTGACCTGAGTGAGGAAAATTAACTCGCATAGCTGAAGTGTGCCGCCAAAAAAGTATTGCATTAACGGTTTCACAATAATCTGATGAAGTGTTAAATTCTGTTTTCTTCTATGGTGTATATCGAAAAAAATTAACATCTGAATCTAACTCATAATTTGTAAATATACTTCTAAGTATAAGATTAAGGTGTATTTCTTCAATGTTAAAATTTAACAGACCCTTGGACCAATCAGGGAAGACCTTATCGAAATGGAGTTTGATGCAATCTTTCACAGCGCTTTGAATATAAATTTTAAATAATATTATGAATACGTGGATGTTTAATAAATGGAGGTACATTCTGAATGTAATAACTCTTTGATGAAATTAGGGTAGCTTCCGTAGATTGCCAATTTCTATCATTTTACAATAAAAGAGTTATTTAAGATTGACCTATCACAATAGAAGAAATAATGAGTTGATCGCCTAGCTATTAAATTTAATAGCTTGTTTGGACGTTTGTTAATTTTTGACGTTCCATAATTATAGCTATATACCTGTTGAAATGTGCGCTGTTATCTGTAATAAACGAGTACAAAGTGCCATCTACTACCCGAACCGATCATTGAGAAAGTCCAGGATCAGTCAGCTTTCTCAACTGTATGTGCCATACTTCAATACGAAACCAGATAGAGCCTCAGAGTACGAGAGTCGGAAACAAAATACTGCTGTATCTGTAAAAAAATGATTTTCCGCCCCATACTGGGTTCTCAGGCATCAATGAAATACGACTGTTGGCGGGTGGTCAATATAGACCCCCAAAAGGATGATCCCGTCGCTCATCTCCAAATCACCAATTTTTCTTGCATACTCCGTTGGGTTGGCACTGTACTACTGAAGTAGTAGTACTAGACATTTATTTACTCCATTATGTGAGAACAATAACAACCTAGAATGATCAAAGAGGTGTATATGAAGAGGATGAAATGTTTAAGGATTATTCGACTGGAATGCAATAATGTGTTGGCTCCTTATTGCGCTTATCCATTCTAATAATGTCTTTTTGAAATTATGTGCATTTCGAAATTGTTTTAAGTCCTTGGGTATGTGTTCATATGCATGAGAAAAGATCGCTTCATAATGGTCTTATGAGGTATTTAAAAATATAGTTCCTTGATATCAAATAATTCTGTTTAGTTAAATGAATCATTTGTTGAATATAATTTTGGTTTTCCGAGCATAATTTTAAGAACAGTGGACATTCTGTACCCCATGCCAATATACTCTACCTTAGGTGCGGCTCAATTAAGGCATATAATTTTCTGCCAATAGGCCTGTGAGGAATTTAATTTTTTATGTAACATATCTTATTTTCTTTAAAATGTAGGCTGCATGAATGTCCCACCTTGAATGTTAGTCTAAGGGTGGGTTTCAACAAGGTTGTCAAATCATCAGTCCGTTATTCTCCACCTATAGGGTAACAGTACGTTCAATACAGTGAATGAGCTTCAAGTTCCGATCAACAAATTTTAGCAATCAATAGCTATGAAATGTTGAAAACAAAATACTGTCAAAGTATGAGATGACATCTTGTCATTGAAACATCACCAGCTTATTGAATATTAAGAAATTGCATATAATTCAGTCATAATTTAAAGAAATGTTTGATTTTTGAATTAAATTCACGTTTTAATTACTATTGTTGATTTTTTATTCATGTTTATATTATTTTTTTCAATTGATATGCAATATTACTGATTTAACATCACCTCCCGTGTTTTTTTTCCTATAAACCTCTTGCAGATAGCCATGAAGCACCTACTTGATGACAGGCTCTACCAAAAAGTTCATAGATCTTGCTCGTTTCCAAACATTCATTCATTTACTTGCCGTTCATCAGAACCATTATGGCACCTTAGTTTGATATTCCCACAAAACCATTCAGGTCTTTTGATATCCATACATCCATAAAGTTGAATATTTTTCAACATCCACACTATATTCACAGCGATTAAGAAATTCCCAAATATACCTGTATGCCTTAAACCTACCAGCAAACCTAAAACCTGCAATAAACTACAAATTTGCCATATTTTTCTTTTTTCACGAGTACACATTCTAAGTTATATTTATATTAGACATTATTTCAATACAGCTGATTATTGCATTTCAAGACTCATCGAGTGACACATGTGTGGGATCTTTCAACCCTTGGTCCCAGTCACAAAACATATACTCTGAAGAAGGTTTAATTAAATACTATTCAATGACAACACGGTAACTTGTGTGGCTGTCGGCGGCCATTTTGTGAGGGTGCGACATGGTTGCCAGATTGTGCATTAATATCCCATTTCACCCCCTGGTCCCAGTGGAGTAAGCCCCACCAGCTGTTGAAATATACTTTACTATGCTTTATAAGGGTATTCGAGGAATTTTTCCCAAAATCGTTACTTGGAAATGCAAATGAAAATTTAAAATTATTTCCATGACGCCGCAAAATAGCTCCGTCGGTACCTCGGGTTATACATTTTGACAGTAAGGATGTTCGATAGGACCCTATATTTAGAAGTATCAATACATTTCACGAGTATCGTCATCTTTCGACCCGCACTGTGTCAGAAGGAGTGACTGCCATTTGGCTACGACATTACCCTGCCAAATCAGACATATCTTTCAACATTTTCAAAGAAATTGTACAAAATCTTCAAATTTGTGAAGTTAGCGAGATTCACTTCACACGTTGTTAGCAGACATGCCCAAATCATCAGTTGCTGCCGTGATATTCATCCCGACCACTGCATCCCCACGGCTAGGCGACCTGTATGTTAAATTTGTATTGATAGAGCAGCGGGTTATGCTATAAATCATATGTCACAGTTTTTGTGCATTGATTGCAATGGTTAGATGATACCAAAAATATTTTCGTAAATAGGAGATCTTTCCCATTCCGGATCGAACAATTCACCAAAGATGCTTATAATCATGATACCTAGTAAATTTACATGAAAAATCCTCTGTATGTAGGTATACAAGAGCTTTCTTATATTTGTTCATCAATTTGATAATACAACACATCTGCTAAAAATGATCATATTCAGGATAGTAAACTATGACGAAGGTCCACTGTATGTACTTATATGTACTTTCAGATACTACATTTGCAATTTGACAACAGACCATGACGGTGTTCACATTTTCAAATATTCTTCAAGAAATGTTATCAGTCTAGCTGCAACTATCATAAGTACTATGTTTGCATTCCTACTTTAAATTCAAAACCAACAAATGTAAAAGATTCGTGTCGCACCCTTCATCACGGGACGCGATCGTCGTTAGACTTGGCAACCCTGCGAGTGTCAGATAGATATCCCCGCCAGTCAAAAAAGAAAAATAGACAAAAAATAAACATTACTGGTTTTTTTTTGATTTTTGGACTTAAAAGCCATTATCTGTGAAACATTTTTCATATTTTTTTGTCTATGTCCATAGTAATTGCATTATGCATCAGGGAGATGTAGGGATTGACACGTCTTACACATATTATCTGTGTTTTAGGATGGAGAGGACATAATGTTTTTATTGCTTTGAAGAAATTCATTAACCCATAAATTAATAAATGATTACTATTATGACGTAAAGGAAGATGAGGAATTGAATGGAATGTATTTTATATTCTATTTTCTTGCAAAATACAGACAAATCCACACTATTCAATAGGTATCTAATGATAACTTTCAGTATATTGAAGTTGGTAAATTCGAGAGTGCCATGCATTAACAAACGTCCAAATCTGCTGCCAAATTTAACAGCTAGAAAATCGACCTATTATTTGCCGCATTCGCAATCGCTGAGGGGGATAACGGATTGTTAAATGTAAACCTATAACATATATCAAAATACATGAAACTTGTCCTGTTTTTTCTGTACAAAAGCATCGTGTTGGAATCAAAAAGTGGTCTTGTTTATAATACAGTCGAGTTTTCACGATTTCATTTAATATTTCAAAAGAAATCACTGATATTCAGAGACCTTTGACAGCTTTCGTCAAATCGCATTTCGATAAGGTCTTTTCCTGTTGGTCCAACTGACCGTCAAATATTAATGTTGGTGAAATTGGCCCTTAGTACACCATCTGCGGTTGATTTTCCTGTTACAAAACCGTATTGATTTTGACTTAACGTTTTGAATTTATCAAGGAAGTTTTTATCATCTTACTACATACTACTTTTTTTGAATACCTTAACCAAAGCTGATATGGGTGATATTGGTCGATAATTCGTAACGTCCATATAATCGCCTGTTTCATAGATAGGAACGATAACAGCCGAGGGAAATATTCCAGACCGTATACATTTATTTTTAACATAAACAAATGGTTTTGATACTTGCTTTACGATCATCTTCAGATGTTTAGCGCTTACTTCATCAGATCCTGGGACATTTTTATTTTTCAAGTACATAACAGTGCTAAAAAATTCTTCATCATCGTCTTCGGTCAGAACAAATCTTTTTCTATGTAACTTAGATTTATTAGAATCGCTTTTTATATTGTTTGCTAATTTTTCTCCGGCATATGTAAAAAAAATACACCAGGACGGTGTCAATACCCTCATCGTGCGCTAGCCTGTCGAGACATAAATATTTGCTTTCTTAGGAATTAGTGTTTACCTTGCCCAAATAAGAAAGAGTTGGGCAGATCAACCATTCAATTGGCCACTCTAGGTACTGATGAGGGAGGAGTGGTCTAACTTTTCAATAAATACCGGTCATTAGGTTTAGCCCAATGTCCGACTACAGTGAGAACCTTGAGAGTGCGGCAATTTACTTCGACACGTTGCAGACCGAGTCGCCACCAACGTATACTGCTGTGGGTGAGAACTACAGTTTTCCAACTGGAGGAAACGTTTATGAAAACAACATTGTGGTGTGAAGATGTAAAATTTATACCAGTTTTATTCAAAACCAAAATCAGAGTCATATTCAAACCCTATTACCACTGTTAGGAAGAGAAGCAAAATATACTAAGTGACATATACGTATAAATCCGAATACCCAGTTTAAATGGTTTTATTTTAATAAAATTTTGTATAAATGAAGCATAATAAGTAAATGATAAAAATTTCAAAATGATTGCACTGCTTTAAAGCCCTTTGACCTTTAATAATGTGTGGATGCACCCTGATGTGCTACGCATTCTCCAACGCGCCTAGGCATGCTTCTGATCAGGTGGTCAATGTCCTCCTGTGGGATCTCATTCCAGGCAACCACCAACTCCTCTCGAAGTGCTTCTAGAGTCTGAGGAGGACGTTGCAAATTGAGAAATCTCCTACCCATCATATCCCACACGTGCTCAATTGGGGATAAGTCTGGAGATCTTGGTGGCCATGGTAACAATGTGACATCATTATGTTGTAAGAAGTCTATTGTGACTCTTGCAACATGTGGTCGGGCATTATCTTGTTGGAAAGTTGGATCTGCCAGGGTGTCAAGATATAGTAAAAGATGGGGTTCTAGAACTTCGTGGATATAACGCTGCGAGTTCATGTTACCTCTGATGAAGATTAAAGGTGACCTGGAACCATAAGCTATAGCATCCCAAACCATAACTCCAACAGTATGATGAACATGTCTTTCAACAAAAAACTATGGATTCCTCCTTTCACCACGTCGCCTTCTAACCCTCGCACGACCATCGTGCATGCCTAAACAAAATCGAGACTCGTCACTAAAGACAATACTGTTCCATTCCTGATCCCAGAGTGACCGTTGTCTGCACCACTCAAGGCGATTACGTCGGTGTTCTCGAGTTAAAGGGAGGACCCAGTGTGGCCGGTATGAAAACAAGCCAAAACTTCTCATTCGTCAGTAAACACTTCGCATGCCAATAGGTCTTCCGTGTTCTGCAAACCATTCATTTGCAATGGACCTGGTAGTGGAGAAACGGTCCCTTAAGGCCAATAATCTTAGGCGGCGATCTTCACGGTCTGTTGTTCTACGGCGGCGTCCAGTGCCCCTTGCTCTTTGCGTACGGCCTTCTCGAAGCCATGCCTGACAACACCTAACCACAGTGTCTACACTTCTTTGCACTCTAACTGCAATTGCCCGAAAAGAAAGTCCAGCTTCCCGAAGTCCCACTATACGGCCCCTATCAAACTCACTAAGTTGACAAAATCGTACAGGTCTCCGTACTCTAGGCATCGTAACCGATCGTAAAGGATGTCAAGAGCCAAAATCCGCCAACGTTGATTCTTTACTGCGGCTGAAATATTCATTTTTAGAGCGTTAGTGAATTAATAAAAAGCAGTATAAAAACCGGAATGTGCAACTGATAAGGCTGAAAATGTTTTCACTTGTTATTTACAGTAAGATAAATACATTCACCAACTTTTATTAAAATAAAACCATTTAAACTGGGTGTTCGGATTCATATGTCACTTAGTATAACTTAAAGACAGTTGCATTTTAACTAGAAATATACCTTTCGTATCGAATCGAATCGACCACTTTGTGCGGTCTTATTTCGATAGTGCTATTATACTTCAAAGATTATCTCTTTGTAACTTTCACAAGATCTAGTCAAATATATGAGTATCTTATACTTGGAAACTATGCATTATGTGAAAGAAGGATATTTGAGCTGTTGGTGGATTAAATTTTACTTGCCGATATATACGTCAAAAGGAAATAAAAACAGGTATTAAAATAATAATTTCTTAACGGAACTTCAAATCCTGATAGAGAAAATAATACAGTGGTCAAGCCAGTGCTTGCAACCATTTTTATACTTAAGAAAATGAAAAAAAACCAAACCAGTTTTATAAGCATCACTTACAAGTTTTTTACATGAAGATGTTTCGTCTTTATACTTTTTGGAACCATGGCATGATTTTCTGTATGATACTTTTGATACCAACTATACAATCGATTTGTACACGCTTCAAGACAAAGATCTAGATGTACTTTATAATAACAACATTTTTTTGTTCCAGTATCTGTATCTACAATGACCGATCGACCAGCAATCAAATTTTGCATTGTCGTCAGAAGAGGCCCAAGTTGTTTTCGAGGTGAAGCCGCTCCTGAGTGTCCGCATTCCCTATGAATGCACAGACAGCCAGGGTAAAAGATCGACAGGTAAGTCAGCACTATGGAAGATACGTTATTTTAAATACTATGATTAGTAATCCAGGCAACACTATATACAGGGTGGCGCATCGAAAACGCAACAGACGCATTTACTGGCAGCTCAGTTTTTTTTTTTGGAAAAACGCTCAGGCCCGTCGATTGTTTTCGAAAGGGACACCAGTTTAGCAAAAAATCACGTAAACACGTGCAGCCCCCTGGGCGGGGGTGACACCAACCCTAAAATCTTAAATGGAAAGGGGGGCAGAGTGATACCTTATTTTAAGGGTCTTCCAATTCCCTTTATAAGATGTAAAATATATGAGCTTCAGTTCAGTAGTTTTGAAGATTTATTGACTTAAAGCTTAAAGTAGACTTTAATAGATACATCACATTAGTTTGTACTACTTTCAGAAGAAATTTGACTAAAAGGATTTACTTAGTAAGTAAATTCTTTTCTTCACTACGCCCATGGTTTGTTTATCATTTTGTTGTTGAAAATAGATATTGGAGCGTTTTTTTGTGGCAAAAAAGTTATTTCTTGAAGAAAGATACGGAAATATCTCGTACTTATTTTAAATAGGAAATTAGTACATACTTTGCGATTGATTTGAGCAAACTTTGATGCTAAAATAACTTCTAACGCTTTATTACATAAATTAACCATGGTATATTCCACATCAGAAAGAGTTGAAATTATCGAAATATTTTTCGGAAATAATCAGTGCGCTAATAGAACAGCAGAAATATTTAATCAGCGACATGAGAACAGTAACGTGCATCGAAAATATGTTCTAGAACTTGTAGCTAAATTTCGGGAAACTGGGTCAGTCGCCAATAAATAGCGCTACATTGAAAATCCCATAAGGAACGAAGCAATAGAAGTTGGGGTTTTAGGGCAAGTTTACGTAGATCCTACGTTAAGTACCCGCAAATTGGAGACTGTGTGTGGTGTTAGTCGACGTACTGTCCAACGGATTCTGAAGGTCTATAATTTTGATCCGTATAAAATTCACCTTGTACAAGAACTTAATGAAGACGATTTTGATCGGCGATTACAATTTTGTGAAGACATGAGTGAACGAAATATAAAAGATGAACATTTTCTATTCAACACTTGCTTTCCCTTCCTTTTTCTTAAATGGCGTAGTAAATCGTTATAACTGCCGATATTGGTCCGATTCTAATCTCAGAATTTATCATGAGGTTCATACACAGCAGCCACAAAAATTAAATGTTTGGACTGGTACTTTTGGTGATCATTTAGTTGGTCCTGTTTTCCTTACCTGGGAATTTGACCGGTGAAATGTATTTGGAATTACTGGAAGATGCCATAGATCCTGCATTAACATGAACATCAGAATGATCGGCGGTACATCGCAAATAGGTTGATGTTCCAACAGGATGGTGCCCCACCACATTACGCATTACGTGTTCGACAATAGTTAGATCAGACGTGTCCAGATCGATGGATTCGTAGAAGAGGTGCCATTGAAAGCCCCCCAAGATCGCCTGATTTATCACGTTTGAATTTCTTTATGTGGGGTCATTTAAAAAGCAACATCTATGCTACTCAGCCAACATCATTAGAAGACCTGCGACAAAGAATTGTGAATGAGTGCCTTCAAATTACTCCTCAAATATTTCAAAATGTGCGACATCGTTTTGAGCAAAATCTTTATTATTGCATGGAGAGTCATGGTTGCCATTTTCAACATTTACTTGCCTAACGGGTCAGTTCATTCTTCGTTTTTAAATTACTTTGCTGCCAAATGTATTGATCTCCACTAATGATGATGTATTAGTTTTATTTAAGCTTTAAATCAATAAATCAAAGACCTTTAAAGTAAGGTATCACACGGCCCCCTTTTTAAGATTTTGGGGGTTGCACGTGCTAACGTGATTTTTTGCCAAACTGAGCTGCTAGTAAATTCAAGGGGCACAAAATTGTACATCTTCATACGAAATTTGAAAGTTAAAAATGAAAATACACGTTGCTACCAAGTGGCTGGATTTACCCGTAACTTAGATGCATATTATAAATTTTCGTGAATAGAATTTTCATTTTTTATTAGTGGTTCTAAGAAAATTTCTGTGCGAGTTTTCAAAACGTAGCTACCAGAGCGCTAGAACAGAAATTTCAGTGAATTGCTTGCGTAATCTCATTACTTGAACAAACTGGCGGCAAGTAGTTAGAATTTTCATGTCATCCCAAAAGGCTAAAGAGCATATTTTTCCACATGAGTAAACTGAGGACATTTTTGAATAATGTACATTGAACAATTATTTGCCAATAAAGTCCGTTTCCTTCTCGGATAAAAACTGAAAATCACTAATGGGAAGTCAAACAGAACATCTTTTATTTCATTCCAGATACACAAAATAGTACAACATCAGGTCCGAGCAGTGCCTGGCCTAATTCAAGCGGAACCCCCAAGCCGAAGTGAGCCCGCATAGCTTATACCGCACACCAACTTGTACGACTGGAGAAGCAATTCTACATGGATAAGTATTTGTGCTGATGCCGATGCATCGAAATGGCACAAGAATTAAACCTGAGAGAACGCCTAGTCAAAGTCTGGTTCCAGAACCAGAGGATGAAGTTCAAAAAGGAAGAGGAACAAAGGGCGTCATCGCCTACTCGGACATTCCCTTCATCTACTCCTAGTCAAACCAAATCAGGAATCCAAACGATAAGGGCTAAGCATCATTTGGTGACTAAGAGGCAGGTTGGCCACAACAGGTGCATGCCAGAAACGATACCGAGAAATCCGTCGGTAGGTCACGTTTCGTGTAACCAGCCTCAAAGTTCGTATCAACGTCTCCAAGGAGATACGATCTATCAGAAACACATGCCACAGAATACACTCAACTACTATCCTGTGCATCTCGGACAGAATAAGCCATGGTATCAGCTTTACCTCAACACTGATTGGGCCGATGAATATTTATTTAATATACACGTAGATGCCACTAAGGGTCTAACTAGTTTGTAGGTTTATTGTATGTACTTTAATTTCTGTGTAAAAATGTAAGCAATAAACTGACTTTCTAGTACATTATGCTCGTCTTCAAAAATATTCGTACCTTGTCGCTCCTAAACAGGTAAACAAGTCAAAAATACGGACTCACTGTTCATTTTGCAACGATTGACAGAACAAAAGGATATAAGCACCCTTCAAAACTCCAGGTACAGAAATCCTAGACTCAAAATTACTGAAACTGTGCCCTAAGCTGATCACGAAAAGTAAAAGCGATGAAATTTGAAAATATGTGCACTCGTTAATATTCTTATGAAAGGTTATTAACAACCAATACTGATGTCCATATATTCTAAATCGCCTGTCAGTTAATAACGTAATTTATGGCACAAAATTCATTGGCTTTAATTTTAACAAACACAAAATAATATTAAGTTGACTTTGGAAACAGAAGTCTGTTTACTTACTTTCCTGTTCACATTTGTTTATTTTGAAATTTTCGCTTTAAGGTGTATGAATTAGAAATAAGAAAATGTATCTACAAGTTGGTTGGGCGGGTACCCACAGCTGAGATCTGTCGAATATTGCAGAATGCAAACATTCCACGCATAATCATTTATCGAACAATAGCAGAGTGCGAGCAGGAGTTCCATGTCTGTATCACCCAAAAACTTACACTTACTGCACGGAGGTCAGGGAGATTGGTGATAAGAGCAAAAAATCGGATTTGAATGTCAACAAGGAACTGGCTCGTCAATACAGATCTTCTAACAGTACGACATCGTCGAAATTGAGGAGGAATGGTCTTATATATCGAAACAGACTTGAGTGCCCCAAATACTAAATACCCTCAAGCGCAACTCCTTCATATACCAAGATGCTGTCGTCATCTTTGCCAATGGAAAAATCATTACTTTAAGACAACGCCGAAGAATGGCCTGACAATGTTAGATACAAACATGAAGCGAAATTTGCAGATAAAATCCATGGTGACCATTTTCTAACAGGGGTGTATCCCAACCTCTTGTGGGAAGAGTGAGGGGTAAAGGTTTGAATAGTCAGAGCTACGAATGACCATGTCATGTTTAGACAGATTGTGCCATTACTCAAGAGATACCCAAAACTGACTTCGACAACACAACATACCTTGTCTTCCCAAAAACGATAATTCTCTAAACTTCCGGCTTGCTCGCCCAATAGACGATTTTTGGAATTTACTGTTTAGGAAGGATTATCATAGAGACTGGGAAGCCCAACAAGGTGTAGAACAATTAAGACGGCGAATTTACGAGACATTGAGAGAAATTGATCTGAATTCCGTCCAGGACCTCATGAGAGACATACGAAGAGAGTTGCATCTGGTCATAATTCGATAGTATAGTTTAGTTAAGCATTGAGTTGTAATTTATGATAACTAGTTAGTGTTTGAATACATTTCTTCATTAAATAAGATCTGATAAATATATTGTGCTAAAGCTTTTACCACATACGTTATAAAAAGATGTCTCACCAGAAACATCCCAACTCCCAGAACCAACGTACTTCTGCATTACCCCTTATATTCCATGTGTTACTATTTAAACAATGTACAAAACAGCGCAGTTTCTTGAGTGTTACATTACTTATGTATATTACTCCATGTTTGTGCTATATAGTTAATAAAACAGAATTCCCTTGACAGGCCTTGGAATTATCAGATAGTCATTTGTTTCGTATACTAAATAATCGCAAAGTCTCTTATTATTTTTCCTGACATTTCTTGAGGTAGGATTTCAAAGTAAATTACATATGGTCATTGTCACTTTTCCATACTTCTTCTTTTGCCTTCCATCACCAACTTTGATTTCTGATATGGACGTTATCTTGAAATTTTGATATAAAAGGAGTTTTCAGCCCTAAATTTAGTTATGTATTTCCTTAGTTGGCCGCCATGAGTTTGTTGTTGACACGAAAATTATGAGTTTTGACAATAGCAACAGTAACAGTAAGCAAAGTTAAATCATAGAAGATTTTCAAAACCTTGCCGTTATTTTGTAGTCAAGGTCTGACTCTTCTCTGTAGATGTTCATTGCGCAATTTATTTCCTTTCTTCCCCACAAGATCGCATAATAAGAATTTCAATATGACGTTGCATCTGTTGTCTTCCAGCATCAACTTTAGTCTTTCTTATGGACACCATATGTTTATTGAGCTTGTACGGCGTACATTGACATTATCAAGCCTTAAATATTTCAAAAAACTCACAATTTCCTAGGTTAGCCTTGAAATTATCGGATAGACATCTTCCTGACTTTATTCAAGGTGGGATTTGCCATTGTTACTTATTCTCCTCTACAAGATGGCGTAGTCAAATTTTCGGAGAAAGGTATATAACAAAAGTAGGAAAATAATGGGCAAAATCCGCAAAAAGGAGGAAAGTGGATTCGAGCAGAAATAGAAATAGGATAGACCCCGAGCGATACGTATTTCTGCTAATTGGCTTCATCAGGCCTGAATATATATATATATATATGTATGGTTCATCACAGTTATTATAATTCGTTTGGTGAAAAACTTAAAGTTTGTGTGTCATTAACTCATGTGTATTAAAGTTCGAACCTGTTTGCGTCTAGCCACCTCTGGTATAGGGCCGCAATACATAACGATTAAATGACACACAATCTTTTAGTTTTTGATTAAAGGAATGAAAATAAGTTTAAGAAACTATTACATGTTTTTTGAGTCACCTGAAAAACTTTAAATGTGACACTAGCTTTTATATGCAACCTTTTCCTCAAGAATTCCCTGCGTGGACATATAATACAGTTCTTTTTATTTTCTGTGAAAAACAACCTTGGACATACTGTTCCATATTTTGGACAGTCTAGCCAGGTGTACGTAATACGGTATAGTATCGACAACAGAAGCCTGCTGTCGCAGGCCATCCGGTTCTTTAGAAGAACAACTGAGATGATTCATATGATACAAAGAAAATATGAAAGTTTACATCAGAAAAGCCATTTTCGCTGTTCGTTCATCAATCTTAGATTCGCATGTGGCTATATGAAAAGTCATCCGTAAGCATCATCAAGAGCAATTTCGTGATTGTATTACATTTACATGCGTAGCTGGAAAGTATAAACCGATTCTATTTCACCTCTTTTGGTAAGACATGACATTCTGTCAAATAACCTTGTAAAAGTCAAAAATAATAATTTCTCCATTTAACCTCAGGCAAGCGTTAGTCTAGTTGTCTAGTCTACCGGCTTTCACCTTCAATTTACGAAAGTATGCAATTTTGCTCGTCAGTTAATTGGTATTGTATTTAGTTTCAAACGTTTGAGAATATGCAAACGGTGGGTGATGTAATTTCCATTGTAGAAGGGTGAAAGTGGGAATTTTTAATGTCTTAAGACAGCACTGACTCACGGAACATAATAACTCTAGAAACTTGTGTTAAGGGACGCTATGCCATCCGTTATATTGATTGTTTGCTCAGAGAAAATTGGAATGTTGGAAACAAAGAGAAAGATCTCCAAAGTACGGTTGCTCCAAGCAAAAAAAGTGTTTTTAGAAAACCACGGCGTTGTAGCGCGAATGCTCCACGACCAGTATTTACTGTGGACCCTAGCGTTCATATTTATTCATTATTCCGTTAGTGTCAGTGTTAGTGGACTGGTAGGAATATCGAGCTGCGGCATCATGGAGGAGAGCTCTGAGGAACAAAGCCCATTGGCATAGCGGTAGAAGCCAGCTAGATTACCGACAGTGCGAAAGGGTCCCGAGACTCTCCGTTAGACAAGAATCGTCGGTCAGCCGGGCGGCCCTCCTCTGAACTCGAGGCTAGGTTTTATCTGGGCCTTGTACACAGTAAGGAGTCAAAATACAGTACTGTGTTTTGGAGGCATTGAACAGTATAAGATTGTTGCGTCCCCAAGCAGTGATCGCCTCCAGATCAGAGAGGAAGTCGTCGCTGCATGTAGAGTGCTGTCATCAGCCAAGCTGTGGATTGAGTTGAACGTGCAGGAAAGGAGGTCGTTGATATGTAAGAGAAACAGTGTTTGAGCCAAGACCGATCCCTGGGGAACACCCGCGTTGACGTTGTGGGATAAAGAGGAGAACCCATCAATTACGACCGATATCTTGTGACCAGAGATAAAGTCAGCCACCCATCTGCAATGCTTTTCTGGGAGGCCATAGGATGGAAGTTTGCTTAAGAGGGCAACGTGCCACGGCTGATCCACCATCAGACTGGATGAGTTTACTCCACAATTGCGTGACGTAAGCTAGGAGGTCCCCTGTGGATCGTTGGTGTCGGGAACCATACTGCCTGCCGCTAATCAAGCTGAGACGTTCGAGGTAGTCCAGAAGCTCGGAATTTATGCACCTCTCCATCACCTTACTTATAACAGAAAGCAGAGCTATAGGCCTGTAGTTGTAAGGATCGGTCTTAGATCCCTTTTTTGGGATGGGTTGGACATGACCAAATTTCCAGTTTTCTGGGAAGGTGCTGGATTCATAAGATATCTGGAAGAGACGCGAAAGAACTGGAGCAAGCTCCGCTGCATACCTCTTCAGCGCAATGGCAGGAATCAAGTCCGGACCAGAAGCTTTGTTGATGTCGAGCGACAAGAGCACTCGTCTTATGGTCTTATGCCTGAATGTTACCTCCCGCATAGTGTAGGGAACGCTTTGAATTGGCGGTACTTGGGCGTTGGGAGGGTCGTCCATGGTGCAGTTGGCAGCAAAGATCTTGGATAGCACTTCCGCCTTGGCCTTTGAGTCGAATACAATAGTTCCATCCTGACACGGAAGTGGTGGCAGGCTACTGTGTGAGAAGTTCTTGTTAATCTGCTTGGCCAGCATCCAGAAAAACCGAGTGCCATTGCGCTGCGGCATTACCCTGTGCCTAACTTTTATATCGTGCTGGTTTTTGGCAATGCAAACCGCTTCGTTATATTTGTTTCTGGACTCGACGTCGGCTTGTCTGTTCTCTACAGTGGGGTTTGGAAGAAAGTTCTGTGTACCTTGATCTTCTGCTGGAGAGCAGTGTCACATGATTTGTTAAACCAGCCGTTGGACCCTGGTTAAGGCACTTTAACTGTGTGAGGGATGTATTCCCCCATTCCGACGTGGATAATTTCTGTTATCGAAGAACAGACAGCCGACGCATCCGCGGGAGAGAAACAGACATTTCTCCAAGGAAAGCTAGAGAAGAAGACCTTGAGCTCATCCCAATCGGCATGTCCATAATGCCAAATTTTGCGGCCTGTAAAAGTTTCTGCTGCCATATCGGGTTCTGACCGAAACATAACCTCCACAACAGCGTTGTCTGCGATACCCAGAGGGGACAGGATAGCAGTGCTGTAAGGGACAGGGTGCGTGGTCAGAAAGAGATCCAGCACGCTACTGGTGTGTGACGAGACCCGGGGAAAAAGTAGGGCTCGTCACCAGTCGGTCTTGTTTGAGCCCAACCAACGCTCATTATGGGCATTGAAATCACCGCGAGGAACTACCTCTGAAGCGGGGTGATTGATGTTCAGGAAGTCGATCTGGACGGCGAGGTATTCGAGTAGGTCATTCCAGTTATGGTCCGAGGGAGAGCGATAAATGCAGCAAATAAGTTTGGGTGATGTTTTGGAGTTGAGGCGAAGCCACAGAATGTCCTTCCGGTTTGATTCCAAAGAAACATCTCTGGAGCAGGAAAGACTGCTGCGGACAAAAGCCACAACTCCCCCATTCTTTCTCAGATTGGAGTGCACCTCGTAGTTTTGGAAGTTCAGATGGTTAATCGGTGCAGACTCTGAGATTTTTGTCTCCGCCAAGAAACGCACGGCTTCACGATTGGATTGCAGGTAGCGATGAACAGCATCAATGTTGCTTTTAATTCCGCAGATGTTCGAAAAACAAATTTTATCTTCGATGCTGTTCCCTCGAGCCCACCCTCCACCCGGAAATTCCGAGAGTGGAGTGAGTTTACGTCCTGTTGATACATTTGTTGGTATGCCAGTAAGTCAGGGACTTATCTTAAAACTGAATTTTGAACCAGTTAACCCTAAGTAATTCAGCTGAAATTTCACATACGTATTTGGTTCGCGTAGAAATAGAGAATGTATTAAATGCCTGCATGTTTAATACAATGTGGCAGATGCTACAGTATGTCCACTTATAATTTCCCGAATATCACCTCTAATATGTGTATCAAATGAAAAGGTTTCATGAGTTGAATATTATCAGCAGTGTGAGATTATTTTTTTTCGATCAAACTGGGACCAGGTTTCCTTAGGAGCAATTAGGGTCCAGCTTGAAATAAGCAACGTAAATCCACACACTCATGCTAAGACGAGGGTGATATGAAAAGCTGTTCCTCATAAATACTAACAGCTAAACAAAAGTTTATTTTGGAAAATGTATTTTTTTTTATTTAACTGATTAGCCCTAAAATTTGTGTGCTCACATTAAATTTTGGGGCAACCAGTGTCCACAATAATGAGTGAATTGTACTAAAAGTACGCCAACAAAACATATGAAATTACGCCGTTGCATCGACAACAAAAGCCAGTGAACTATATTAAATCAATCTTAAGAGCTTTGTGACAGCTAACGATAAACCAGCTGAAAAATACCAGCATGCCACAACTTATCGCTTTTTTACCAATTCTGTCATGCATTACACCAGTACGGTACCAATACCCTCATCTTGCGCTAGCCTGTCGAGATCATTCAAGTTTGCTTTGTTAGGAATTAGTGTTTAGTTTGCCTTAATAGAAAATGGGTGGGCACATCAACCATTCAATTGGCCACTCTAGGTACTGATAACGAGGGAGGAGTTATCTAACTTTTCAATAAATACCGGTCGTTAGTAAAGTTTAGGTCATTACAGTTTAGCAGGTCTTCAACTTGCCAAATGTACGACTACAGTGAGAACCTTGAGAGTGCAGCAATTTACTCCGACATGTTGCAGACCCAGTCACCATCAACGTATATTGCTGCAGAGTACGTGGGTGAGAACTACAGTTTTCCAACTGGATTAAACCTTTATGAAAACAACTTTGTGGTGAGTAGATGGAAAATTTATTCTAGTTTTATTCATAACCAAAATCAGAGTCATATTCAAACCCTGTTACCACTGCCAGGAAGAGAAACAAAATAAGTTAAAGTTGCATTTTAACTAGTAATACTCCTTTAGTATCAAATCGAATCGAAAACTTTGTGCTGTCTTATTTCGACAGTGGTTTTACTGCAAAGATTTTGTTACTCTTTTTAACTTTCACAAGAACTAGACAAATATATGAGCATCTTATACTTAGAACCCGTACATTATGCGAAAGTAGGATATTTAAACTGGTGGATTAAATTTTACTTACCGTTATATACGTCAAAAAGCTTTTGCAAATAACAACTGGAATCTAAACAGTATCTTCTTATTATTTCAAATTCTGAACAGAGAAGATAAAAGTGGTCAATCCAATGCTTGCTTCCCTTGGTATACCTGTATATTCAAGAAATAAAAAAAAAATTTCATAGGCAACCTTTAAGTATTTTCACATGAAGATGTTTTGTTTTTATACTTTTTGGAACCATGGCACCATTTTCAGTGGGATACTCTTTCTTGCCAACTATACAATCGTTTTGTGCATGCTTCAGGACAAAAAATATAGGCGCACTTCATAATAACGATATACCTTTGTTCCAGTATCTGGATCTACAAGAGTCAATCGGCCAGCAATCAAATTTTGCATTATCGTCAGAAGAGCCCCAGGTTGCTTTCGAGGAGAAACCGCTCCTTAGTGTCCGCATTCCCTATGAATGCACAGACAGCCAGGGTAAAAGTTCGACAGGTGAGTCAACACTATAGTGTTGAGCAATAAATGCTTTTATTTTAAATACTATAATTAGTAACCCACGGAAAACTATATATACAAATTCAAAATTCACAAAAATATACATGAGCTTTGTATTTGCATAAGAAATTTGATAGTTGAAAATGAAAATACATGTTGCTGTCACGTGGGGGGATTCACCCATAGCGTAGATGAATTTTGTCAATTTTCTTCCATTAATTTTCCCTTTTTTGTTAATCGTTTCTAAAAAAGTTACCGAGCGACAGATTTTCTACGACGTCGCAACGTATTGCTCCACCTAACATTCAGTACATTGGTTGCTGAGATTACGTGAACAAACTGACGGCAAGTGGCTAGAATTTTCATGGTACAGTCATGCCAAAGAGCACATTGTTCCAAATGAATTAAGATTTATTTGCCATTAAAGTTTGATTCCTTCATTATTCTCTCGAATAAAAAGCTGATGATCATTGATGGGTAGCCAAACTAAATGTCATTTTGTTTCATTCCAGGTACAGAAAATAGTTCACCATCAGGTTCGAGCAAACCACAGTCAAATTCAAGCGGAACCTCCAAGGCGCAGCGAACCAGAACCGCGTATACCGCACACCAACTTGTACAAATGGAGAAACAATTCCAGACTGAAAAGTATTTGTGCCGACGCCGACGCATCTTAATGGCACAAGAATTAAGTCTAACGGAACGTCAAATCAAAATCTGGTTCCAAAACCGGAGGATGAAGTATAAAAAGGAACAGAAACAAAGAGTGTCATCTCCAACTCGGACATTCGCTTCATCCGTTGCTAGTCCAAGTACCACATCAGGAATCCTATCGGTAAGACCTAATCACCATTTGGCTACAAGGAGGCAGGTTGTTCATGAAACGCGCATTCCACTAACCTTACCGGTAAACAAGTTTAGTTCTTATCAACGTCTCCAAGTAGATACGAATTATTATCGATACTTGCCACAGAATCATAACTACTATCCTGTGCAACAAACTGTGGAGAATAATCCATCGTGTCAGCCTTGCCTCAACACTCATCCCAACTCAACAAGTATAGAACAGCCAAATCAATTTTTGGAACAGAAAAATAAGTATTCTGTTGCTCGGATCAACCAATATTCAGGTAACGAAGGTGCTACTGGGAGTCTCATTAGTTTATAATGTGATTGTACTTGTAATGTCTTAAAATTATATAGTATGTTTTCTAATTTGTGTAAGTAGCAAGCAATAAATTGACTTTCTTGTACATTATGCTGGTCTTTAAATACACATTTTCGCTCCCAAACAAATAAACGAGTCAAAAATATTGACTCAACGCTCGATTGCAAAATGTAAATTCAAAAAAAGTTATACTATGAGACGAATTCACCAAGATTTAAGTTTGACGGAGGCTTTGACCAATAAAGGAGCAGCATATCGTAATGCAACTTGACGGAAGCTTTCAAATATCTGCTTATAACAGTAATTTCTATTGAGCTTTAGAATTAGGACAACTTTCATAGAAGTGCCCATTTCTATCCTTCATAAAAGATAGGAAACTTATTTGAATGGACCTATGACAATTCAAGAAATAATAGGTCGATCTTCTACCCATTAGATTGTTAGAATGTTTTCACTGTTTTTGACGACTCTCCATGCATGGCAATCTAGTTTTGTCTCAAAATCGCATACAGAGTGTGTTATACATACTACGTATCTGTAGAAATGTACCGTTTTTTTTAATTTTCCGAAAAACGGATATTAAACTTATTCCAACTAACCAGTTCATTGTCTTTTGTTACATCAAAAGCAATTTATTGCCAATTTACGATCTAGAAATTGACGCCGAATGTAAGCAAACCGCACATTCTGCAATCCTCCTGTGTCCTAAAACATCGATATTTGTAAACGTATCCGCATCCCACCAATTATTCATCGACTACATATTACCTCAGAATCAAAGTTACCTATTTAAGAAAATATTTGCAAAACTTATTATATTTTCTAGTTATTTCTATTAGTATTATAACACGTCTGAGATACAAATGCCATAGAATGCCAGATGTGGTGGTGGTTTGCTACGGTTCGGTTGTGTTTAACGGGTGTCTACAACAATCTTTCGGAATTGAGGGAACAAGGTCGAACTAAATAGTAAGATCTTACACTGCGCTTTTTAAGAAAGATATCTGCATGAAACCATCAAGACCTTGGACAGAGATAGATTTCAGAGTTGCTGGGGCAAGGGACGTCATGAATAAAAAGTGAATAAAGGATTGGTCCAAGAACCGAACCCTGAGGGACATCGGGTTTGATGGGCCGTGTTGTCGACAGAACGTTATTAATTTTGATCCGAAATTTCCTACCCTCGAGGAAGGATTTCAAAGGTTTTAGGAGCCAGAAGGGGAAGCCCTTATAGATCAATTTGTAGAGAAGGCCCTTGTGCCACACCTTGTCAAATGCCTTTGAGACATCCAGAATTAAAATGCCAGTACTTTCGTTACGGGTGAACTCTCTGGTTACTCGTTGAACAAGCCTGTAGCTCCGTACGATGCTCAGACCGAAAGCCAAATTGCACGTCAGGAATCACATTTCGGTCTGCCGAGAAATTTTCAAGGTGACGTAGAATCACCTTTTCAGCGAGCTTGGAAGGAGCTGACAGTATACTAATGGCGCGGTAATCCTGGGGGAATATCGAACCCACCTTCTTTGGAATCACTATGACATCAGTGGTCTTCCACGCCGTTGGAATTTTATAGTTGTAGAATTTCTATTTCTTGCTTACTAGACTAAATATTTACTATAAGACTTTATTTTCCTGGTGCTGTGTATGTGTGTTTCCATCATAGTATATAATATCCATTTTTTATCTTTAGCTAGTATACCTATATACTATGTAAAATCTTTTTAATGTATCTTTGCTTCCTGTTATTGTTTACGTATTATTGTTTGTTTGTAACTTGGAAAATGCCATCGTTGTTGAATGTGGTTCACCTCAATATTAGATCTCTGGTTGCAAATATAGGGATGCTGCGTAGCTACGTCGATGATAACGACATCGATTTTATCTTGAAGTAAGTCTTTAAAACTCTCTTTAATCGCCCACCCACCTTATCGTCAAGTGAGGGTTAGCCGCCTGCTCCTTGGCGTACATACCTGTATAATTTAAAAATAGTGATGTCACTTAGAGATAAAGCTTTTAAAAAATATAAATGTATTAATATCCTCACTAAAAGAAATCAAAAGTCAACATGGAACTCACTTAGATCTTTGGAGATTCTGCGCGAAAAAAGTTATCTGAACTACCACTCAAGTTAAAGAATAGCAACACTGTGAACGCATATTTTAATAGCGCCCCAAGTTTGGCTAGAAGTCAACTTCAAACTGATATGCTCAGAAAATACGATACCCAATGCAAGTTAATGAAGATTCTTTTAGATTCACAACAGTCAATACCCACGCTGTGTTCAAATTTCTTAATAAAATTAAAGCAATGCTGTAGGCTCGGATGATATTTCGTTTCGTATGTTACTATTAGTGTCCTCTGATTTGATAGAGTATATCACGTTTATTTCAAATTTCTCAATCACATCTGGAACATTTCCTCTTGCATGGAAGCATGCTCTGGTGATGCCAATACCTAAATGTGACTCACCTGATGTGCTCTCTGTCCTAAGACCGATTAGTATTCTGCCTACCCTATTAAAACTCATGAAATACCAAATGCTTACCTATGCTTTTCAAAATAATATTATCACTAGCTTCTAGTCAGGGTTTCGTCCTGAAGATTACGGATGATATCATTAGAGCAACTCTTGAGAGCTACTTAAAAAATCGCACTCAGACTGCAGTTGTAGATGATAATTCCTCTTCCTCGTTGAATAAGGTTTTCGGTGTTCCACAAGGTTCGGCCTTGGGTCCACCCCTTTTCAGCTTATACACAAGGGACTTTCATGAGTTTGTTAAGTTTTCTCTGTCACATCATTATGCCGACTATACCCATATATATATATATATATATATATATCGGTCTCCGCATCCAAAGCTGTTACTGCACAGATTGAACTGAATAAAGATTTAAAATCTCTAAATAACATATGTATAGTCAACGCCAAACAAAATGGCGTGCACGTCATCAAGGTGGGTGTGTTGAAAAATTTACATTGTTGCCAAACTTTTTGTAAAATAATAAAATTTATTATTTACATATCTAGGTTTATAAGCAATATTAACCTCAAATGAGAACAAAAATAATAGTATAATAAAATTATAGATCTGTACTTGCATAATCATTAAGTATGACAATTATTGATCAGATGACACTATGAAACTACCATATTTAATTGATAGCTTAAAGGTACTGAATAAAAATCCAAATGGGGTCCTCCAAATTTTATGCATGGTATTTATTTTACAGAATTCATACAGAAAAATGCATTCTAAAATTAGGTAAGCTACTGGTGTAAGCTTTTTCTGTACAATAAAGTTAGTCGGAGTTTCTTTCTTCAGCGCTGTCTGAATCTGAATCTTCATCACTCTCAAAGTTGATTATTAAAGGTTCGATGTCTGGTCGATCAAAAATTCGTTCTCTTTCATACCATTTAAAAATTTCTTGCTCAGTATGTCGAACACTATTTTTCCACATGTCTGGGGTAACCGTTTGTAGAGCCTCGTTCCACATATCCAAACAGTCTTTTTCACTGTTACCATCTCTACCAATATGTCTGTTATAGTAACCTTTTGCTATGCCCCAAATTAACTCAATAGGGTTAAATATACAATGGTAAGGAGGCAGACGAAGAACTTTGTGCCCATGTTGTTCCGCCAATTCATCAATCACGTATATTTTAGGTGGTTTGTTTCTAAAAAAGCAGTTATTTTAAGAATAGGAATAAACAAAAGAAATATAAACTGTCGACCAAAATATATATAATTAAGAAGCATTATGTACCGAGCAACAATACTCAATAGCTCTGTTTTAAACATTGTGTTTAAAAATGGTATGTTTTGATTTGTCAACCAGTCTTGGATATTTTTTTTTGTCCATGCATTGTTGGGCACTTTGTTCAATATCATGCTGTGATAAGGGGCGTTATCCAGTATAATCATAGATGGACTCTCCAATTTTTCTAATAACTGATGTTGAAACCATTTCAAAAAATTGTCCTGGTTAATCTCTCCATGGTAATCGCTCAATTTTGTTTTCGAAGAAAATATCGTTTCACTACCCTCAATAAACCCATTTTCATTTCCAGCATGTAATATAATGTATCTAAAATATATTAGTTTTAAATTTTATAGTGCAAATTGTGTAAAAGTACATACCTTTTACCATCTGTTTTAATAGCTTTCACGCTTTTTTGGTTTCCATTTTGCCAAGAGCGACCTATGGTCCCATTTTGAAATATCCAAGTTTCATCGAGGAAGACAAACTGGTATAAGCCTCAACCTTGGCTTGATTGCATTGCCTTAGAAATTCCACCCTTTTCAAAGCTATACTTGGTAGTTCCATGAGCCCTTGTCGCGGATTGTCCTTAAGCCACTTAAATCCAAGATCTCTAAGCAACCGCCTTAAAGCCTTGGCACTACCATCAAATAATGCCCTATCTCTTAATCGAGACCATAAAGTTTGTATCGTAACTTGTTCTTCTGAAACCATGTGTAATATGACATTATAATTTAGTTAACAAATTAATGCAAATTTCTGATAAGTTATTATAATAAGATCTTACTTTTGTGATACATATTATAGATCACTTCTCGAATGGCACTTGTATCCAATGTCGCTGTGTTGGTTACACGTTTAATATAACTCCGCTTTTTCTTGGGCGATTCTAAATTTGCATCACTTTTCACACCCTCGGAAATACGACTAACTGTCCTTAAACTAATTTTTAAAGCAGCAGCAACACGCTACAAAAAATGAAATAAAATTTCACTATTATTAATATACATTACATATAATTATTAGTAACCTACCTCTTGAACAGCATTTAAAGGCAACAAAGGCCCGTTGTTGTCCCTTTCTTGCTCAAAGTAGTGCATTAACGAGGCCACGAGTTCCTCACACCGACTATTTAACTGTTTGGGCATCTTTATATACCAGAATTACCTTTAACTACTCGTAAAATGAATAATTTGTTTTGAAACAAACAGTTGTTGATTTACAGTATGCGGGGCCAAAGGATTTATAAAGATTTGAAATGCCACAAATTGATTCAGTGTCAAAATTAATACAAATGTCAGTTCCCAGTTTAAATAAGTTTCAAGGTGACAATGTGCCAACGCTGCGAAATCGGTTTAGTGCGTTTACATGTCGATAAGTGATTGGAGCGTTTGCAAAACATTTTATTTCGCATAATGCGTCTAAATTTATCAGAAAGCAACTTATGTGATATTTTAATAACAATGTTTATATGACTATTAACCATAATAAGAGAGTAATGACCATTTTACAATTTATATATCACATTAATATGAAACTGCAATAGAGCAATTGTTTGTGATAGAAACCTAGGCATTAGGTCGGGGAATTTTTATCGTGATGACGTTCACGCCACTTTGTTTGGCGTTGACTATATAGCACATAATTTACAGCTGAATCCGAAGAAATAACAAGTCATGATTTTTGTCAATAAAAATAATAGACTTGATCTGCATGGCACATTTTCAGACTCTGATCCAAGATATACAAAACATGTTAGTCACTTGTGCCAGGTCTCCTATAACGTGTTAAGACAACTTTATCCCAGCAGGAATATATTATCAAAATTTATGAAGGTCAAACAATGTGAAGCTTTGATCTTGTCTAAACTGGCTTACTGTGATTGCATATATGGACCTGCCCTTTTGCAAATAGATATTTTACGCATTCAGTGAATTAAAAATTCTTGCATCAGGTTTGCATATGGTATCCGAAAGTATGCCCACATCACTGAGAACTTTATGGATTCTTCTTACCATGATTAACATAAGAAAACTTCATTTTCTCACATCAGTACATAAGATCGTTACTGGTAGAACACCTACTTATGTATACAATAAACTCACCAGACTGCCTGATAATAAAGTAACTCGCAATAAACATCTTTTGTTTATTCCTAAATATTCAACGGCTCTGTTTAAGCGCAGCTTTTCATACAATGCTGCGAAACTGTATAAAAGCTTCGCAGTAGATCTCAAGAATCTGAGCTTCCGCAATTTTAAGAAAAGATTGAAAGCTGATGCGCAAGTAAGGAAATGTCCCACCCAGTATGTTTCTCTTTAAGGCGTCTTGTTCTTTTTTGCAGGAACTGTGTTCTCATAAAAACTGCATTGGCCATGCTCTCATATATTCTGTTTTCTATTGATATTATGTTTCATATACAGGGTGGCGCATCGAAAACGATAGAGACGCATTTACTGGCGGTTCAGTTTTTTTTTGGAAAAACACTCAGACCCGTCGATTTTGTTATCGAGGGGACACAGGTTTGGTAAAAAATCACGTTAACACGTGCAGCCCCCTGGGTGGGGGTGACACCAACCCTAAAATCTTAAATGGAAAGGTGACTCGAGTGATACCTTATTTTGAAGGTATTTCAATTCCGTTTATACTGATGTAAAATACATGAGCTTCAGTTCAGTAGTTTTGAAGATTTATTGTGTTAAAGCTTAAAGCAGACTTTAATAGGTAGGTACATCAGATTAGTTTGTACTACTTTCAGAAGAAATTTGACTACTAAAAGAATTTACTTAATAAGTAATTACCATGGTACATTCCACAGCAGAAAGACTTGAAATTTTCGAAATATTTTTCGGAAATAATCAGTGCGCTAATAGATCAACAGAAATATTTAATGAGCGACATGAGACTAGTAACGTGCATCGAAACTATGTTCTAGAACTTGTAGCTAAATTTCGGGAAACTGGGTCAGTCGCCAATAAAAAGCGCAACATTGACAATCCCATAAGGAACGAGCAATAGAAGTGGGGGTTTTAGGGCAAGTTTATGTAGATTCTATGTTAAGTACCCTCAAATTGGAGACTGTGTGTGGTGTTAGTCGACGTACTGTCTAACGGACTCTAAAGGCCCATAGTTTTCATCCGTAAAACATTCACCTGGTACAAGAACTTAATGAAGACGAGTTTGATCGGCGATTACAATTTTGTGAAGATATGAGTGAACGAATTATAAACGATGAACCTTTTCTATTCAACACTTGCTTTTCCGACGAATGTTCCTTTTTCTTAAATGGCGTAGTAAATCGTCATAACAGCCGATATTGGTCCTATTCTAATCCCAGAATTTATCATGAGGTTCATACACAGCAGCCACAAAAATTAAATGGGCTGGTATTTTTGGCGATCATTTAGTTTTTCCCTTCTTCTTACCTGGAAATTTGACCGGTGAAATGTATTTGGAATTACTGGAAGACGCCATAGATCCTTCGTTAACAGCCATAATTGAAAATCAGAATGATCGGCGGTACATTGCGAATAGGTTGGTGTTCCAACAGGATGATGCCCCACCACATTACGCATTACATGTTCGAAAATATTTACATCAGACGTTTCCAGATCGATGGATTGGTGGAAGAGGTGCCATTGAATGGCCCCCAAGATCGCCAGATTTATCACCTTTTGACTTCTTTATGTGGGGTCATTTAAAAAGCAAAATCTATGCTACTCAGCCAACATCATTAGAAGACCTGCGACAAAGAGTTGTGAATGAGTGCCTTTAAATTACTCCTCAAATATTGCAAAATGTGCGGCAACGTTTTGAGCAAAATCTTTATTATTGCATGGAGAGTCATGGTGCCCATTATCAACATTTACTTGCCTAACGGGTCAGTTCATTCTTCATTTTTAAATTACTTTGCTGCCAAATGTATTGATGTCCACTAATGATGATGTATTGGTTTTATTTAAGCTTTAAGAGGGGAAAAAAACGACACACGAAGTCCGCAACAAGAGCCAACCTACACATTGTAGTATAATACGGCTTCTCTTTGTAGATCCTTGGGGCTTGAAGTACCACAGCAAGTGGCTATAACCACCGCGTGGTTGTGGTTAGATGTCTCCTTGAAAATTCGAGGTCTTCTAGCCGTTTTATACTACAATGTGTAGGTTGGCTCTTGTTGTGGACTTCGTGTGTCGTTTTTTCCCTCTCCCTCTTCGTTTTCTCAGGTTACACCCGTATCCGGATGTGTGGGCATGTGTATCAACCTTTGTAGTTCCATATGTGCATTCATTTCGGGCCTGATGAAGCCAACCAGCAGAAATACGTATCGCTCGGGTTACCTATCCTATTTTCTGCTCGAATCCAATTTCCTCCTTTTTGCGGATTTTCCACATTATTTTCCTACTCTTTGTTATATACATATATATATCAAAGAGTTCTTGCACTTTGTGCATGCTTCAAGGCAAAAACGATGAAAACATAAACACACTTTATATTTACAATACCTTTCTTTGTTTCAGTATCACGATCTACAATAGACAAACGACCAGCAACCAAATTTTTCATTTCGTTCCAAAAGGCTCAAGTTGCTTCCCAGGAGAAACCGCTCTCCAGTGTTCAAATCCTTTATGCATGCACTGACAGTCATTTTCTAAATGTTCTTCCATGAAATTGTCACTCCTTTATTCATTTGATGTGCGACCGATTTTACAGTACGTAGCAACCAGGACGCTTAACATATTGCTTGATATAAATTTAACAAAATCAGTTGCTGAGATTTCAGCAGACTGGCGGCAAGTGGCTTGAATTTTCATGGTGCAATCATCTCAAAGCGCTAAAGACCATTTTGTTACAAACGAATAAAATGAGAATTTTTTTAATATCACAATGTACGTAATTTATTAGCCAATGAAGTTTGTTCTTCTCAATACTCTCTGGAATAAAAACTGAAAATTACTGCCAAAAGTTATTTTGTTATTTTTCAAATACAGAAAACGCTCTTCCAGCACCAAGCAATCGAAAAATCAACTCGAGCGGTGCTCCCAAGGCTAAGCGTGCCAGAACGTGTTCCGCTACATATCAACTGGTACAACTGGAAGAGGAGCTCTTCGGCAACAAGTATCTGAGCCGACTAAGACGAAATCAAATGGCACATGATTTGAACCTCACCGAATGTTAAATCAAAAGGAGGAACAGGAGCAAATAGGAACTTCACGTATAGTCTCGTTTGTATAGCAGTCGCCAACCTATCAGTGACTCTGTCCAAGATCCCGCCAGACAAATTCTTACCACTCAGCCGCCTCATATAGATCGAATTTACACAGCTGGATCCCAGACACAGTTACAATCGTCAGCAATATCCAAACAACTACCAGCACAGGAGGAAGAGTATCCTGTTAGATGGAAAATCAATATTTAAGCGATATAGGTGCTTCTGACGAGTTTGTAAGTTTTCTGTCCTCTTTATAAATGCCGAACAGGCATTGTAATCTTGTTAATTTTCACTAGAAGGTAGGGAAGGATTCGCCAACCAAGCCTTCTTGTTGCATACGATAATTCAATTCGATTTTATATTCATGACTTGCAAAGCGCATTGCCGACAAGTCAACATGGTTCTTCCCAAATACTTTTGGGTTATTTTTGGCATACTAACTGACTATAGTAAGAACTACTTAGAATTAAGATGTATGCGTGTGTTTGCTAAACTCTTTGTAGTTTTTACTGTAATATAAGGTATTTCTTTTCTGGTTTATGCTAAACCCATAAATTTGAACAGGAATATTCATTAAGTCAAAATCAAATTGAGCATCCTATGTATAGAGGCAAATCAACGAAATTTACACTGATATTCAGCGCGGAAGCCTCCTAGCTTACTGAATTCACTTAATGTCTGTAATTTTTTGTGTGTGCGCTAAAGAGCATGTTGTTCCAAACAAACAAAATGAGGATTTTTTGGATATCACAATGTATTTTGAATATCTATTCGCCAATAAGGTTTGTTTTCTTCAATATTATCTGGAACAAAGACTACAAATCACTGATGAGTAGCCAAGCTAAAAGTCGTTTTGTTTCTTTTCAGATACAGAAAATAGTCGTCCACCAGGTACAAGCAGTCCAAATCCAAACACGGGCGGTACTCCCAAGACCAAGCGAGCCAGAACATGTTACACTTCGACTTCTACAACTGGAGAAGTAATTCCTTGCCAGAAAGTATCTGAGCCAACCAAGCCGCAACCAAATCGCACAATACTTGAACCTGAACGAACGTCAAATCGGAGTCCGGTTCCAAAATCGCAGGATGACATACAAGAAGGAACGGAAGCAGAAAGCGTCATCTCCTACTCTGACATTTGCTTCATCCATTCGTCGTCCCAGGAATTTTCCTGAATTCTTTTTTGTTCTAAATTCAGTAAGAATTACTCAGCATTGAGTTGTATGTGTGTGTTTTATAAGTCCTTGTAAATGGGGCATTGCTGTATTACGTGGCACGTCGTTTATAAGAATTTGCAAAACAATAATTGGATGTATGTCAATTTGAAATACATATTTTGAATTATACCAACTTTATCACTCCCGAGTCAAATTTGCAGCATAAAAATAACACATGTTGCAATTACAGCATATGAACCTATTTTCATTTCAATGCAAAATAAGTCTATAACGCATAGGTGGCTGTGAAAAATAAAAGCCATGACAATTGTTTTTATTAAACACAGCTGTCAGAATACGTTTAAAATAGTTTTGGGTAGTTAAGGTTTTCAAAATGGGTAGAGGAAAGGTTATTAGTGAGAAAATTCGGTTACTGATAATTAAATTCTTGAATTCTGGGAAATCAAACTCAGAAATTGCAACTTTGTTGGACTTATCGCGGTACAGTGTGATAGGTATGTGAAAAAAAAGTAATATCACAAATGCCGACCGAAAAGCATTAAGAAGAATAATCGTGAAAAACAGGCGTGCCAATTATCTACAATTAAGTGCTCTGTGGAGTGACGCTGTTGGAAGGAGAACTTCGAAGTCCACAAATCATAGAGAGGTCCACAAACGGCACTTGCAAGGTAAGTTTTCCAATAAAAAAAAAGGTGCACAACTTGTTTATAGGCCAAAGAAAAGCCACTATTAACTCCACTGCAAAAGAAAAATCGGCTTAGATGGGCTAAAGAATATAGACAATGGACACCTCTACAATGGTGTGCAATACAATGGAGTGATGAGGCCCGATTCGAAGTTTGTGTTGGTGAGAGTCGCAGTAGAGTTCTTCGCAAAAAATGAAGCATTCCATGTTGACTGTCTGAACAGAAAAGTGAAATTTCCAGCATCCATTATGGTCTGGGGCAGTATGTCATCATAAGGATTAGGAAAACCTCACTTTATTGATGAAAATGTGGATACAAGCAAATATTTGGTAATCGCTTTTACCAGTGATGGAAGACTGTTTGACATCCGGCCAAGATTTTGTGTTTCAGCAAGATGGTGCAGCGTGCCATACCTCAAAAAAGGCTATAAAATGGATGGAGGAAAATAATGCACCACTTTGGAAATGGGTTTCTAGCAGTCCAGATCTTTCACCTATTGAAACTTTGTGGCACGAGATGAAAAAGTTTCTACGACAACATCCTGCTCATACAATCACCGAACTGAGACAAAAGCTTCAAGAAATATGGGATTGTTTTACACCAAATTTTTGCCAAAACTTGGTTAACACTATGCCCCAAAGAATTTCAGCCGTAATAAAAAATAAAGGTGATGTTACCCAATGGTAATCTTTCAATTGTTGCTTTGTGAACTTCGCGCATTTATTCGCACATTATTTATTTGTTCAGATGTTCTATTAGTTATAGGTCTAAGTAATTTAAAATATGTATTTTTTACGACTAGACTGTATCTAAAATGTTTTTGAGAAAATAAATTGTTTTAGAAGTAAATAGTTTCGTCTTGTTTAGTTTATAAAGGCATATTTTGGCACAAATCTTGAAGTGAGCCAACTGAAGTGGGAAGGGGCTCCTAGTTTTTTCCATATTTCTACCACTGAGCCGGTTTTAAAAACTCACAGTTTTTTCGGGCTTCACCTGGCAGTAGCGCCCCTTACACTAATTTCATCAAAATCTCACCCGTATTTGACGTAAGGAAGACTTAATAATGATAGTCAGCCAAAATTTCATATTTCTCACTAATATGATAAAGCATTTTCTTGCAAACGACCTGCTTAGGTCAAGCGAAAGTAGTTCACAGTAAAGCCTCAGAGATCCGGCTGCAATTTACTTCAATTAAGATATCTATAGTTTCTGGATACGGAATCCAAAGTATAGTGGGGATACGAAAAATAGCTACTCACGGCATCCACAGCTACGTTGAAGCTTGAGAGCAAGATATGCTGTTTACCTTACTGCCTCATTAGAGGAGTTATGCTTTTAGCACTTGTAAATGGTCAACAGCAATTCGTTTGCTGAAGATACATCTCAAACGGCTTGATGGATAGGGCTAAGACTGACTAGCTTAGTCTTCGTCTTGAAAAATTATTGAAGCCTTGGTCTTGCTGATAAAAATGTTGCCAGTGGATTAAAATAGTTCCATATCACTATTAACGGTTGATAATGGTGATAGAAGTGATATAGAATGCGTAGAGTTAGCATCAGTTGTAATTGGTCTACATTTTTTTACATTACTAAGTTAATTACTGCGAAAATCGGTTATATTCATTTTAACGGGACTGAGTAATAATAACTTCTGACTCAAATAAATATTATATGGCTCCATGTTTATAATTCAGAATAAGAGTTTTTGTATTTTGGTTAATAGTAGTATTACAACGTCGCAGGGTGTCACATTAACAGAGTATACGATAATGAGTGACAGCCTGACTCCAAAATAAAACATTTGAACCCAACATGCTCAGATAAAATATCGCTTCTCCTATTTACACGTTGTCAACTTTTTTATTGATTTTTGTAATGAGTTACAGGATGAATACTTATATGTATTAAGACTACCTGCCAAATAGTGATTTCAATGTCGCTTTGCCGACAAGGGAACATCATACCTAACTAACAAAGTGCTGCTAAAAGTTTTTGGTAAAGAAACTATCCAGCTGTAAAAGTTCTCTTTTGTTGTTGCCTGAACACCAAAATGATGGCTTAATGTTGTGTGGAATGCAAATTTCCGTTCTGCATATTTGCTCTAAAATGAGGTGTCTAAAACGTTCTTGTAGCATAGTTATACAACACCTTATAAGACAAATTTATTACGTTTATTTATTTTATAATGCATATTTGCGTGGCAGTCTAAATAGTTGTCGCAGCCATGGTAACACTTATGCAACAAACTCGAGCCTTGTTGTTTTAGTGGGCAAAAATGACTACTTTATCCAGCAAATTGCTCCCAACGGAAGCACTCATACAACTGTTACAGGCTGTACATTTACAACTATATCACAATTTCTACACAACATCACCATAACCTAAGTTTCTTTTTAGGTTATATGCCATAATAATTATTTTTTTTGTTCAAGACGGGCAACGCATGAATTTGCGTTGTAAAGGTTTTGCCGTCTTTTCGGTCGTATAATGTAGATCTGGTACAAATTCTGAGTAAACCATTTGACTCTGCTCATATTACATTTTAGAGACTTGCTAAATTGCTGTATAATACCTGCGGATAACACGAAAACGTTCTGATAAACCAAAGACAATAATATGGAGGATGCAATGATTAGACATATATGTCTAACCACCCGCCATATTTTGCAAATAAATATAAAAATGTGGAACATTTCAAGCAGATAAGTTCAGATTTCCATCTTAAAAATCTGGTACATATAGCATATGTATGAATTCACAATGATCGATATGTCAGTAAACAAGATAAATGTAATGTCTTAGTTTAAAAATATTGTTCACTTCGCCTACACAATACATACAAAATTGCTTAGATGCAATAAAGTAGAATCATGAATCAGAATGGTTGTTGTATAGCTGACAAAAGTTGAACCTTGCACTGATGCAAATGTTTTATAGCGGCTGCAAGGGGTTTACACTTTTGTGGAAAAACTGTTACTGAAGCCCTTATACAACCTCTTATATGACTGAAGTATCCTATTAGATGTGCCCATTCCGCTTGTATAGCTACTCTAAGAGCGTTTTACCAATGCTCTTACAACATACAATGCTGTGCGAGGAATACTGTATAGCCATTCTTGCAACCCTTATAGGGGTAATAATTGTTAGTTGGAATGTTTTATGCAAAACCTTTGCTTGTGATCAGCCCTCCTATATATGCGAGAGAAAATATGTTCAAAATATTTAATTACCATCAGAGTCGCTGTTAGACTCATAATTTCTGGTTTCGAGAAGGATGCAATATTTCTATTAAATTAATTTTGTTTAATAGGGGTTTGTGCTTATATTACGAGAAAGTATATTTACAATACCGCTGAGACTTCAGAATATCCACATAGAAAATGTTGGTTCTCAAATTGCTCTGCAATGAAAGATAACAGTCAGTTAAAATTTTTGCATTCAAAATTCAATGTATAATAAATATATGTATACCCTTTGTGTGAGTCTTCTATCTATAGAAAATGAGTCGCAGTCGACTTGCTTGAAAATTTAGCAAGATACATGTCTTGTCCTCCACAACAAAAGTGTCCACACAATTACTAGTTTCCGAGAAATAGGTTGACAAAGTTTTCAATTTTCAAGACTGGTGACTGTGCCGGTTGTTATTCTTAGTCCAAAAACTCTGAGAATCAGTACTCCAAAAGAAATATTTCGTTAAGGATTCCTTTTGTAGGTTTACTATACCCATACACCATACAAAGTCTTTTGTAGATAGTGCTTTGATTCGTCGATGAAAACGACTTTTCAAGTCAAGATTCTAAGGTTTTCAAGTGGGAGACGTACCTATAACATATTATTTATTTTTACAAGATGGGTAGTACGAGAGTTATTCAAAAACTGCATGTACCAAGTCTAGGACCGTTTATAAAATATATAATGCTCTTATTGATAGGGACGCATTAACTGTTAGCAACGGCGTTAGAGGCGTAGATGTCCGCAAAAGGAATTTGCTCACATTTTTAGAACACAATAAAGCGTCGACTGTGTATATCCTAAAAAAAGTATAAGTGTATTAAATAAATAGTTAATTAAACACAACACCCTAAAGCTGCATTCACATTAGTGAACTTTTTCTTTCGGATCCACCTTCAAAATCAACATGACCTTAATTTGAATTTTTAAGACAAGGAAATGGCCACGATTTTTATGTGCCATTGAAAAGCTACCTGTCCTATTGAGTTTTCAGAATTCTCATGCCATATCTATTCCAGCATAAACATACGAAAGTCAACTTGCCTTGCAAGAAGCTTTGTAACCATCATGGTTACAATCAACATGACACCTTCCTATAACGTGTTTTAACGAAATATTTCTTTTAGTATATTGATTCTGGGACCTTCGGGTCTGAGAACTGCAATATGCACTTTCACCATTTTTGCAAATCAGCAAAACTCCGCTTATTTCTCAGAAACTAATCATAGAATTGCTTTGCTCCTGTGGACATTTTCGTTCGGGGAGGCAGAGAATATATACTGAATTCTTAGACACAAACCATTTTCCATATCTTCTTTGTGCGTAGTCATTTGCAGAAATATATAAGAAGGTGCCATAATGTTCGCCTGATCTTTTGAATCTTACCTTTCTCGAAGCATTCAACAAATTCAATTCAGAAATTGCCAGGTCTCAATACTTTGGACAAGGAGTAGTTGCAAGGCCGCAAGGGTCAAGACCAGATACATAAGTCCAAATTAAAAAAAAAAAAAGGTTACTTACCTTATACTCTAATTTCTTGTTTCTATGTACTTATGTTTCTAAAATATTTGGATATATTTGACAGCAGTGGTGCTAAGAACTTGAAAAAACTCGCTATCAAAATGTGCTTCCATATTGTGTATGGTGACCAATGCATCCTTAGCTTTATCTTTGATCCTCATACAACAGACAAACAAACGCTACCATCTAATGCAAACAACAGTCCGTTCAGGCATTGTAAACATTGAAATATCTTGTTATCTTTCGTTGAACATGAGCAAAACAACTTAATCCCCTAGGAATGCGAGCCGGCCATTTTGGCAAACAATTGATGTTTAAGCGGATGGTAATCGGCTCTGTCAACCTCTTTCAGGTAACAACTGACATATACGCGGTTCTTAACAGGCTCATAAAGTCAAGATAGATGTAGCAATACAGGATTATGCTTGTCTTCTGAGCTTGTTTTGGACGAGCTGTTGTTATGAGGCATAACAATCTGTTAAATGAATTACCCAGAATTTGTGTTTGACTCATTGGGTTGAGGAACATGCTGATAGGACGATCGGCATATTTTAATTAAGTGTTCACGAGTGCCTCAATTGTGTTGTGTAGTCTGTTTATTCTAATTTATCGTCTTCCCATAGTACTTCTATAGGTGGCTGGTGAAATGTCATCAAATGTGTCTAAAGAATCTGTTTTTATTAGAATCTCACCGCCTTGTAGCAACAAAATACCTGCATATACCTTAAAGGGTCTTTGGGGGAAAGAGAAAAGTTCGTATAAACATACTTAGATTCAAGAATAATTGCTTTTATAGGTACAGGTGCCAAACTTTATTTGAAAACCCGTTTCCCCGAAGTCGTTATAAGTTTTTAGACAATTTTTTTAAAGCCTGATTATTTAAATTGGACACCCTCTTGAAAACGACGCATAGTGAAAAATGTATCGTTTATTTGAACTTTTTTAAACCAGCCAATGAAATATTCCTTGAAGTTATTAACACAATTTCATTTCACTTGTTCAACCTTGTACGATTTCCTTAAAATGAAGTGATATATGCCGAGTGTCCAGTTCAGTTTGTGCAGCAGTGCATATTTTCATAGCATACTAAAAATTGAGTATGCAATTGAAAGAACTGAGATACATTTAGCTAAAAATTATATTTGGTAAAATAGCCAAGACGCCCATTCATTATTTGTATTTGACAATTTTCCCTTTAAACTTATACACTGAAACCAGATAATAAAACCTCAAAGGATATTTTTTACTTTAAGGATTTGAATACACTGCATTTCAACGTATATTGATAAGTAAACTGAATGAAGTATTATCTGAAAATGCAAATAAGTATACTATAAGGGAATCGAACAATCAGTATTTCATATCTTTTTGCTTGCCTGCTCTGAATAAAAGAAGATGACTAATTTTGGGACCATGCAAACAGTGTACTGCATCACTACTTAGAACTGACGTAAGCCTCAAGATTGTATCCTTGCATTATCTTATCAGTTTCCCACCGAAAATGCTGGTAAAGATGACTGTGTAAGCTAATTTGTTCATGAAGATTTCCGATTGTTTGCTTTTGTTGCATTAGTCATCTTTAAAGACGGCGTCTCGCGGTTGGTAACAAACCCTTCTTAGTATCACTTCTGGATATTGGTTTATCTTCTGTTACGTAGCTAGTCCAAGCTACTATTATAAGATACTTATACATTCAGTAAATGCAAGAGGTTTTCTAAAAAAGAAAAATCTTTAATAAGTTTACTAAACCTGATCTTCATATTTTTTCGGTAACCGATTCTTTTTGACTTTGTGCTAAATATCGATTGCACAATAGACTAGTATTTTCTTCATAACGCTTTTGGAGCCTGCGTGCTTGGTTATGGTATTGCAAAATTATGATCCTCACATGTCTTTTTTTTATCTTTTCTAATTTACTTATCTTCATATGCTTTTTAGCATTTACCATCAAGTATCCATTAAATATGAATGTATGCGAATTTGAAGGTAATATCATAGCCACCTTTACCTTACACGCTATGAAGTAAGAAACTTGGCAATGTTGTAGTAGTCCTGAACGATCCTCAGCTAAACCACCCTTATTGCTTTTTACTCGTAATTCACTTGTTTTACATTTGATATGTCACCAGATGAGTCAGTATTTTTCTCATCGTCAAATTAATCATCATTAGGGAACATGTAGCTAGCAAGAACTGTTTGTTGTTTTCATGATTTCGTTTGAACTTGGTCATTTTAAAGAGGTTGCAGGTCTGGTGCCAGTTAGCAGAATTACCGATTTGAAAAAATACGGAATCGATTAGATTAAAGGTGTGCGAAATTACAGATGTAAGGTTATATGCATCATATCAGATAACCGTATCTTGAATCAAAGTACGATCCATCGTCTGTCAACACAGTTCTATATCAAAAATCTCAAATTTGTTAACGAAAATATATTTCTCCTCTTTGATTTTGACCATATATATAAAAATGTCTGAATTAATTGACTGAATCAAAAAGTCGTTGAAAAATACTCCATTTTTCCAGACATGAATAAACATTAGATTGAACTTAAAGAAACGTACCTTGATTTGACGGAGCTTTATAAGTCAGAAATAAAAAATATTACTAAAAGAACATTTAACTTAAATCAGTCCCTCTATCCGAATAACTCAGAAAGGTAAATCGATAACTAGGTGGTAAATATTTTCCATGAATCCGCCACAGCCGCACTACAGTCATGTAGTTTTTTGTGGAGGGACTGCATCATTTCTAAAAATTATAAAAACTGATGGCGTATAGTTAATGTTAAAAGTAACTTTAAAGGGCAAATTGAGAGAAACATACAGTAAACTCTCAACTGTCCGGCTCGCCGCTATCCGAACTCCGGCTTATCCGGCTCGCCTAGGACGCATCGCCGCTAAACATAATTTTTACGCAGCAGGCAAAAATAGAAGCCTTTTTAAAAAGTAACACATATGTAGATTATTAAAATGTATATAATATAATATACATATTATTATCTAGGAATTATGTAATGTACTAAATATATTTATGCATTTTCTCATACCTTCATAAGTACAAATGTAAGTTCTGAGTTAAAATACATTTGATACATTGATTCGGCTTATCTGGCTTTTTCGTTATCCGGACTAGCTGCCCGCCACCTTAGGCCGGATATTTGAGAGTCTACTGTATTTGCAACACTAACATCATCTGAAAATGATGATAAATTAATATTTTTACGATACTTGTTAAATGACAGTATTCGACTGCTGAAGGTCTAACACCAGACACATAAAATGCATTGAGAAAGGGATCCCTACTTTTAATAGGAACTGTCAAATATTCTTGTACAAAATTTCTGAAAAATTTCAGAATGTTAATTTGGAAAAAGTTTAAGTTGATTCAGAAACCTGTTTGAATTCAATAATAATGTTTCTGTAAGACAAATATATCAATGAGAGGAAGATATTCGAATACAGAATTCCCTAGAAACCAGTAAATTCAGTGACCTGTCACTTATTTGCTTTGACAGACAAAGATATTGATAACAGAATCCAGTTTCGTCCCAAGTATACATTACTTGGAAACATGCGCTTTGGATGAGTCGGCTCAAGGGTAAATTTGTGGATATGCAGCTCATAGAATTGAAATTAATCAAAGCATAACATGTCAAAAATTTCAAACAAATCATAAAAAGTAGTATAGTAACGATGAAGCTAGATGTATCATTATTTGTGTGTCATTGAATATATTATCAACAAGCCAGCAGCTCGTTTGTAATTTTTAGGAAAAACCAACCATAAATATTTGCTAGCTCCTTTGGCGTTGACGAATTCAGAAACTAGTGAGTTCCTTGTAGATTTTTCTACGTTTTGCGAATCCGGTGCTCCCGCCAGACAAATATATTTCAAGGTGGCACTGACATTTTGAATTATTGTCATACATCAATTTAGTGAAGGGAAAAGTAATACTTTCTATATCCTCGACGAAAAAAAAAGCTTAAAATATTAAATCATTGAATATTTTATATTATTTGTTCTTACCTTTACCTTTTCCTCTTAGAGCATTTAGCACGTTTTCTATTGATACCTACATGTTATTGTATACAAGAATTTTGTATCTATTCTATTGTTTATAGTAAATAACTTTAAAATATTGCTTAATACCTTATTTTTACTGTGAGGCATTTTTTGAAATTCAGTCATACTGTTATTACTTTTATATCTAGTGGAGATGTTTTATTAATTTATAATTGGATTTGACTAGATTCATATGGAATTCCACTGACCAATTCAAGTTCTAGATTGTAAACATGGAATTCGACTAATTAATTTATGCCAGGTATTTAATGAACGTTTTTACATAAGACTAGTACTCTGGACTACCTTAAACTAGTACTGCGATATTGCTTATTTTACTGTATGGCTTGTATGGTAAAGGTGGCTATGATAATACATATAGTATAATTTACAACTTTGAGTATCCGAATAAAATAACAGAAACGTTTCGACGTCCGTGCTCATCTAATTCTTTGTTATTAATAGCCTCAATACGATCCAAAAATTTTTATGAGTAAAGTCATGGCAATTATGCATTTGCATATATAAAGGGTGGACTCAGTTCGCGGCATCTACATGGAAAATAGATTTCTTCGGATATGTTATCGGTTACGATATGCATACTTAACCATCACCCGGTGGCATCGAGTAATGACAATCCGTTTTAGAAATTATGGACGTTAATCGTGGAAAAAATAGCACAGAAGATTTCTTTCTCAATACCTAGAAGTATATGTACCCTTTTCAAATGCCTAGTATTGTTGTATATCCTGACAAATTCGCATCCTTCAAAAGAATAGGTATTCCAGGAACCCCAAACTAATACAGAGGAAATATTAAAAAACAGAAATGCAGTTTTGTTTCATCTGGTTATTATTCAGATGTAGTTTCCAAAGATGTGACCATGTTATCATCGTGATAGGTGGTGTACCTTCGGTATGTCGATGATAAGAACCAGTCGGGCGTACGTGCTTGCCTCGGGCATTAGCATTACGCATTGTTCTTGCTTTCATGTGACGGTCTTAACCTGTTCTACAAGCAACACAGGCAAAATCCAACGTTATTCTAGGAAAACGCTAATTTTTAGCTTAGTCGTAATATCTAACACTAACATGATCATAGTTCCTATAAATATCCGCCGTGTATACAATGGGTATCTGCAATTTTGGACATATTCGATTATTGATACTTGGAAAGTCCATGTCATTTTCTCTACTCATTGACATAACATTGACCATAACAAACAATAGTTTTCTTAAAATTTTATGACTATGCCCCAATTCCATGTCACGGCAGGTATAACCTTTCCTTCACAAGTGCCATATGATTAAATTGTGAAAACCCCGATTAGATAAGTTCATTTTCCATCATTGAAGTATGAGGGAACTGTTTTATGTCCACTGCTTTTTAATATATCCTTAAATAATATATTTTAAATTGGCTATGTGAGCAAAATAGTATGTTTCGCAGATGACACAGCAGTTTTTTATGAAGGTGATAATTTGCTTAATTTGAAAAGTATAGTTGAAAATGATTTTGTCAAAATTATCCAGTGGATTAATAATAGGAAATTGAGCATTAATTACTCTAAAACAATTTTTTCACTATTTTAATCCTATTCCAGACATCTAACAAATTACACAACCATCCCATTTATCGTAAATAACCAGAAATTCGAAATTAACAGAGCACCAGACAAAAGAATACCCTGGAATATTCCTGGATCAACACTTGCGTTGGTATGTTCACATTTCATATATTTTAAAAAAAAAATTGTTATGTGTCGTATAAAATTAAATATACCAAAAACATTTTAAAAGAAGAATATCTTTATACCTTATACCTACCTTGATCGAGCCGCATTTAACCTACGGTATATTTGCATGGGGGCCTACATGCTCAACTCCTATTCGTGATTTACATATTTTTCAAAAAACGATTTTAAGAGCAATGTTTAACAAATCAAAACTGTATCCAACTGATGTCTTATACAAAGATACAAATGTATATGACTTAAAATAGCTTTATCTCTTACATGCTATAACCAACTATCACAGATTTATACAATAACGACCAAAAAATTTAACATAATCAACAGTTGTACCTAGGCTAAATAAATCTACAACGCAACGACCATCCAAAATTATACATAAATTTACCTGACGATATAAAAGATCTAAGTTTAGGAAGTAAGTACAAGAAAAATTTAAAAGAATGCATTTTTTATTTGGCAAGATCAGACGTATGTATATAAATTTATAATAAATGTGATCAAATAATTCGTTGATTGTGTCTGTATTCATATTCCGATAATACAGTTGTGAAATCAATGGTCCATGTACAGGCAATGCCTCTTATGGGCCGATACTTCATATTTATTTATTCATTCTTTGTATTGTGTTTCAAGAGTAAGTAAATATTACTATTATTATTAGATATTTGAATATAAAAGAGGTATCCCCAGTATTCATCTATAGTCTTCTTGGTGAGCATGTTTTGCTTGTCTGTCTTGTAGGACTAATGTATGGCGGCTTCAAGGAATAAAGCGCAGATGAGCACAGTGCGTTGGCACATCGGTGAGGGGAAGACAGACCACAGGCGTCCGTTGTTTAGAAGACTAATTTTAATGATTAACATGATACGAAAAAGGTATCGTAGCTTCCATCAGAATTTGTGAGGTCACGCATTTAATGTAAAACATTATCTGCAACGTGCAAACGTACTTTTTATATCAAAAGGTCAGCTTCGTTGTTGCGATCCATTAGTACTGGATTTTCATGTGTGTGAAAAATCATACTTAAGTGTGGTCAAAAGCAACTTCGTGATACTCTATTACATTTAGGGGAAAGGTCCCTAAGTTGGACCGTCTCTTAAATTGGACCACATCTGTAATTCACAAACGGTAATTCGAGGCGCCATCTATGGCCTATCAATCATAGCTTACGCGTAGTCCAGTCTGTATGTGGAAAAAGAAACCTGTGTTGCTAGTAATATCGAAGGTATCACATGTTGTTAAGTTTTATGCCGGCTGATGTAATTTTTCAAGTGAATTTCTTAAGCTGTAGTTTTTAACTGGTAAGTTGTTTTGTATATCCGTCAGTTTATATATATTTAGCCATCATTTTCCTGAACAGTCATTAAGCAGTTAATTTGATTTTAAGTGAAAACAACTTTTTTAGAGCCAAAAATTGAAATGAGGTTATGATTTCCTAAAGTGGACCACATGAAGTTTCTTAATTTGAACCGGTCCAATTTAAGCAACCTTTTTTTTTCAGTTGAATACTATGTCTCAACGGGGAAAGTATGGAAAGTGGAGCGAGACGAGCATGCAAGAAGCCCTTAATGCCTATGAAAATAATGTTGCCGGTTTAAATGAAATCGCTAGGAGATATAAAGTTCCTAAAGCTACTCTGAAACGTAGAATTGACGATACAAACAAAAATGTGCATGGATGCGAAAAAAAATTCGGACGTTCTACGGATCTTCCCCTAGAAATTGAAAATGAAATAGTTAACCATGTATTGGAGCTAGAAAGAAGCTTGTTTGGAATCACTCGCAATGATTTGCGAAAACTTGCCTATGATGTCGCCGAAGCTAATGGGATTTTACATAGATTTAAAAACGGTAAAGCCGGCAAGAAATGGTATTACTGCTTTATGTCCAGGCATAAAGAGCTATCTCTTCGACAACCAGAGCCTACTTCAGCAGCGCGGGCTACAGGTTTCAACAAAGAAAAAGTCAAGGCTTTTTTTGATTGCCTTACTTCTCTCTATAATGAGTACAATTTCAGTCCATCTTGCATTTATAATGTAGACGAGACTGGCCTCTCTACGGTTCAGAGGCCTCAAAAAATTATTGCACAGAAAGGAAAACATCAAATAGGAGCACTTACGAGCGGAGAGCGAGGTGTAAATACGACATGTGTCTGTTGTTTGAACGCTGCTGGCAATTACGTACCGCCAATGCTTATTTTCAAGCGCATTAGATTTAAAGATGAACTGAAGGCAGGCGCCCCTCCAGGAACAGAATTTGCATGTTCAGAGTCAGGTTGGATAACTAGTGAGCTGTTTGTTAAATGGTTGCAACATTTTATTAGTTTTGCGAAACCATCTACTGATAGGAAAGTTCTCTTAATACTGGATGGGCACACCACTCACACAAAAAACCTAGAGGCCATTTTACTTGCCAGAAAGCATGGAATTGTAATGCTGTCCCTACCATCTCACACAACACATCGACTGCAACCCTGTGACGTCTCTTTTTTCAAGCCCCTAAACTCGTATTACAATCAAGCAGCTGATAAATGGCTTCGTACAAATCCAAGCCAAAATATAACCCAGTTTCAGGTATCGGCGCTTCTTGGGGAAGCATATGCTAAAGCAGCATCTGTTGGGAATGCTCTAAGTGGATTTGCCAAATGTGGAATATGGCCGTTGGACCCAAATGTGTTTGATGATAGCGAATACGTTTGTCTATCTACCAGTACTAGTAGTACCACTTCGTTTAAAAATCAAGTAAACTCGGAGATAACCGAAGAAGTGATTCAGAGCGCTTCACAGTTGACTAACATTGATTATTCCAATCCACTTGCATCCACTTCAACATCCTGTTTGCTAAACACAAAAGGTAAATCAAGTAGTGAGCTGCCCAAAAGGAAATCTGTTTCCGAAGTATCACCTGTGCCCATTTTGAAAAGAAAATCGCGTAACCTGGCCTTGTCTTCTACTACAATTATTACAGATAGTCCATACAAGAACGATCTTGAAAAAAACAACTCAAAAAAATTGATGCTTCTTCAGCCACCAGAAATGTATTTTCTTCTGCAAAAGCTACCAGTAAAGGAAAGTCGTCCAAACTCGATAACAAGAGACCTATTACAAAGAGACGAAGTCTACAACATGGAACGTCAAGCGAATCTGAATCGGAGGACGAAGATTGTCTATGCCTTGTTTGTTTATTTCCATATTCTAAATCGAATCCAGGCGAAGAATGGATTCAATGTAGGATTTGTAAAAAATGGTCGCATCTTAAATGTATCAGTGGAAAAAATGTTAATTTCTATGAATGTATCAACTGTGAATCATCATCAGATAGCGACTAATTATATGTTCCTGTTTTAGGAAGTTTCATTAAAATTAAAATGTTTCAGTTCTTTTAGTATTATCAACTTGTCATTAAAACAACTCACTTTTCCTACATAGTCGTTTTCAGTGTTCAGAATAACGTTTGATTTTTGTGACTGGTGTTTAAAAAACTGTTTATATTTTTTGTACGAGCTTTGGATGATTTTAATAAATGTTCTCTTTTCAAATAATAGAAAATGATTCACGGTTCAATTTAGGGTACCGGTGGTTCAAATTAGGAGACCGGTATCTTAAATTGGACCAAATGACGTCATTTTCTTTTTTTAATTTTTTATAAGACTAATAAACCTAGAATTATTTCTACAGAAGTAAAAGTTTGATAATAGTCCCAAGAATTACATCAATTTTTATTAAGTGAATTAAGTGACGTATTTCGATTTTACACGCGATTATTGTTAGGTGGTCCAATATAGGGACCTTTCCCCTACATGTGCAGCTGGAAAGTATAAACCGGTATTACTTCACCCCTTCCTGTATGTGACTTTCTGCCAAATAGCCTTGTAAAAGTCAAAAATAATAATTTCTTGATTTAACCTCGAACAAGCATTAGGGATCTCTAGTTGTCTAGTCAACCGACTGCCACCGATATCCACTTGTGGTTATTTAATTGCTGTTTAGTGGTTTATGATTTTTATGTATATTTGTTATCTCTGGTACGTTATAGTCTCCATTGACTTTCACTACTAATACGCCTTCAATTTGCGAAAGTGGACAATTTTGCTCATCAGTTAATTGGAATAGTATTTATTTTTAAATGTTTAAAATATGCAAGGGGTGGGTGACGTAATTTCCGTTGTAAAGGAGTAAAAGTAGGAATGTTTTATGTCTTCAGCGTGAATCACGTAACATAATAACTTTTGAAACTTGTGATAAGAGGTGCTATCTCATACGATTGGAATTTTGGAATCAACAAAAAACTTTCCCAACGCAGCGGTTGCTTTCAGCAAAAAAGATTTTTAGAAAACCACTGTGTTTAACACAATTGTCTCATGATCAGTATTTAATTTAATATTATTAATATTTGCTGGTCTGTGTCAGTGGATTTCTATATAAATAATTACTGGCGATCTGGGTACATAGTCAATAAATATCAGATTCCAAGATAGATAATGTGTGGCATTCAACATATTCGTTTATATCGATGCAGCCGCCTAGGCAGAAGCTCTGCGACTATTACGATGAGCCTAAAGAAACCTTTTTAATCAGATTTTTCAACAGCTTGAGGTTTAGTATAACCGGGAAAAACCTGCTCAGGTCGGTTGTTCCATAGTCTCGATACCCTAGGTACAAAGGAGCGGTCGTATCAGCTTGTTCTGGATGTAAGAGGCTCGACACGGTTAGGGTTCAAGATCATTAACGGGTGAGCAGTACTCGAGGCTAGGTCTTTTCTGGGCCTTGTACAGATTTGGGAGGTTATGAGGAGAAAAGTACTTCTTAGCCCTAAACAATAGCCCAGCTTTATCCCAGCAGCTGCCACTTTTGACGAGATTCGTTCATGTCAGAACAAGTTCTCGGTGATCCAGCTAAAACGAACCGACCTTTTATAGAAGTCAGCCATTCATCAAAACTAGATGTGCGCTAAGGCGCTTCTTGTTAGTCCGTAATGTGTCAAGGAAATATTAAACAGTACCAGATTGTTGTGTCCCCGGTTTTTCTTCAAGCAGCAAGTCGCTGCTACTTTCATTTTCTTCAGCTCACCGGCCTGTTACTCCAAATTGATACATGTAGACTGCTGTCATCAGTAAAGCTGTGGATCAGATTAATCGTACAGAAATGGGGGTCTTTGATATGTAAGCAGAACACTGTCGGATCCAAGGCCGATCCCTGGGGAACACCCAGGTTGTCACTGTGGGGCGGAGAGGAGAACCCATTAGTTGCGATTGATATTTTGCAGCTAGAGAGGAGCCAGCAATCCAATGCTTTCATGATATCAAGGGTAGCGAGATGAGCCTGGATGAGTTTAGTCCACAGTTTCGTGAAGTAAGCTAGGCGGTCCCTCGTGGATCTCTGGTGCCAGAAAATATCTGTGCCGTATGACGTTCAAGGTATTCTAGAAGCTTCCAATTTATGCACCTCACTTTTCAATATTTCAAGTGGACAAATTAAACTTTATATCAAGAGGATAGGGATATTGAGCGCTGGAATGCTGCTGTTACGTCACCTTTTACACATATGAGGTTTTCTCCATGTTTTCTGGCCGTGAAATAAGACCACATACGTAGGTTGAGTTTCTAGTAGCGCTTTGTCGACCTTATCTTTCACAGTATACATAAAAAAAGTGAGAGCGACAATGTATCTCATTAACGAAGGAGTTGTGGTACGAAATGAAAGAAGACAACACAGAAAAGCTCCACAATTTCTCTTCTTTACGTATTTATCACGTCTTCTGATACATTGAAGTCAATTAGCTCTTCCAAAATTCAATGTTAAAGATCTGCCAAAGCTCATCGTGTGATCCAGGCCTCTCACAAGTTAGATGAGAAAATAGACACCGACTAGCCATTACAATCCGTCAGATAAGGACTAGGATAAGGATTTGTACCTGTCAAACGGCTCGTATAAAAATGCTTCGTTATTGACACCTTTGGATGACGTAGTAAGTCCTAGAACGTATCAAATTTTAGAAATAATTGAGTAATAAAGGTTCCAACTTTAATAGCTTATTGACTTCACAGTTAACCAAATGACTATAAAGACTACACAAATGACTATGTATTCCTATGACTATTCGAATTTAGGGTTGGATAGTGATGATACCAATTGAATGAGTCAGTGCAAACAACTCGTAAGTCCTGTAATTTGAATTTTTCAGGATACAATAAAATACAAATATGTGTCACTGGCAAAACAAACTACCTTTAGGGCCGATTTCACCAACACTAATATTATGGACCAATGGGAAAATACCTTATCGGAATGCAATTTGACAGAAGCTGTCAAAGGTCTCTGAATATTAGTGATTTCTATTGAAATATTGAATAAAATCGTGAAAATTTGACTGTATTATAAATAAGACCACTTTTTGATTCCAACATGATACTTTTGTACAGAAAACATAGGACAGCTTTCATGTATTTTGATATATGTTATAGGTTTACATTTAACAATCCGTTATCCCCCTCAGCGAATGGGAATGGGGCAAATCATAGGTCGATTTTCTAACTGTTAAATTTGGCAGCAGATTTGGACGTTTGTTAATGCACGGTAATCTCGAATTTAAGTTCAATATACTGTTATCATTACATACCTGTTGAATAGTGTGGATTTGTCTGTATTTTGCAAGAAAATAGAATATAAAATACATTCCATCCAATTCCTTTACGGCATAATAGTAATCATTTATTAATTTATGGGTTAATGAATTTCTTCAAAGCAATAAAAACATCTCTTCATCCTAAAACACAGATAATATGTGTAAGATGTGTCAATCCCTACATCTCCTTGATGCATAATGCAATTACTATGGACGTAGACAAAAAAAATACGAAAAATGTTTCACAAATAATCTCTTTTAAGTCCAAAAATCATAAAAACTAGTAATGTTTGTCTCTTTGACTGGCGGGGATATCTATCTGTCACTCGCAGGGTTGCCAAGTCTAACGACGATCACGTCCCGTGGTGGAGAGGGTGCGAAATGAACCTTTTCCATTTGCTGGTTTTGAATTTTTTTCGTGAAAATTTACTAGCTTTCATGATTATAAGCATCTTTGGTAGATTGTTCGATCCGGAATGGGAAAGATCTCCTATTTATAAACATATTTTTGGTATCATCTAACCGTTGCAATCAGTGCAGAAACACTGTGACATATGATTTATAGCATAACCCGCTGCCCTACCAATACAAATTTAACATACAGGTCGCCTAGCCGTGGGGATGCAGTAGTCGAGATGAATATCACGGCAGCAACTGATGATTTTGGCATGTCTGGTAACAACGTATTAAGTGAAACTCGCTAACTCCACAAATTTGAAGATTTTGTACAATTTCTTTGAAAATGATGAAAGATATGTCTGATTTGGCAGGGTAATGTCACAGCCAAATGGCAGTCACTCTTTCTGACACAGTCCGGATCGAAAGATGACGATACTCGTGAAATGTATTGATACTTCTAAATATAGGATCTTATCGAACATCCCTACTGTCAAGATGTATAACCCAAGGTACCGCCGATGCTATTTTGCGGAGTCATGGAAATAATTTTAAATTTTCATTTGCATTTTTTCAAGTGTTGTGCAATGATATTGGTAAAAATGTGACGAATAGTCTTATAAAGCATAGTAGAGTATATTTCAACAGTTGGCGGAACTTTCTCAACTGGTACCAGGAGGGTGAAGCGGGATATTAATACACAATCTGGCAACCCTGTCGCACCCTCACAAAATGGCCGCTGACAACCACACAAGTCACCGTGTTGTGATTGAATAGCATGGAATTAAACCTTCAGAGTATATATGTTTTGTGACTGGCACCAAGAGTTGACAGATCCCACACATGTGTCACTCCTTGAATTGCAATAATCAGCTGTATTCAAATAATGTCTAATATAAATATAACCTAGAATGTTTTATAGGTTTGCTGGTAGCTTTAAGGCATATATTTGGGAATTTCTAAATGG